CCGTTTAACACAAGACGGTAGATTTTATGACTATTTGTTGTATACATATCTCATTTATGAGCTCAAGAGCTCTGTTAAGACTAGTTTTGGGCGGGCTAGTTAGCATGCTAACCAGCTCCTTTTGATGTATTTGTCAATAACAGCTTTGAAATTGAATTGACTGACGAGTGGAGAGCAAATACATTTGTCTCCTCTGGTACTGGCTCAGGGCACAATGCGTCCACAAGAGTCAAAATAAACAAACCCTAGTTCAAACTAATATTGACATAAAATATCAAACAAGGTACCAAAATTGTATGATCAGATTATCTAAATACAATGTACTATAGAGTAAGGCAAGGCTGGAGTGGTAACATATTAAAAGGGGTATAATGCAAGGTGTACGAACTCTCAGCTGAACCCGGCACCGTGTTGATGAACGAGCTGACGAACCCATCTCTGTGCGCGACCCATTTACCAGACATTACAGAGAAGTATAAGTTACAATTTCTTCCTGCAATTCCGGGACACAAAACTACATAATCAGGACAATGAAATAAAGCGGGACAAGGGGCAATGGCTGAGTCATAAGAGGATTAGCACATCGTATGACAGTTGGTATTAAACAGTACAGCAGGAGATAGATAGCGAACATAAAAACCAACAGAAATAGTTGACGAAAGTTAATTATGAAACCGGGAATAATCCTAGATTACCCGGTGACAGGGTTAGTTCAGGTTAGGTTACATGTCAGTTAAGTTGCTAGGTTAGGTTACGCCACGTTAAGTTGGGCGGTAAAGTTAGGTTACGCTACGTCTGGTTGACGCCCAGCACAATAAACTGTACTAAGCAGCACAGAAAGACCATCATTACCACATAAGACTAAACACACACAAGACTAATGTATCTCTTAATCTATTATTACTTTGATTATCGTATTCACTAATAAGAATATGGGACGAAAAGTCCAAATTGTTGGAGGCTCAGGTACATCATAACATCAACATATAAGAGAAACATTATTATAAGAAACAATATAAAAAAGTTTTTATTCTTCAGCAGTCTCAACAGTCACCAGAGGCAACAAGAATGGAGGAAATGTAACACGACAGTGTAAGGTCAGCGACATTTATGTTGTTGACTGACCTCTGAACTGTCTGGTTGTAACTGATGGTAGCACGTCATCAAAGGCGGCAGGAGCAGTCGCCGGAAAGTCAGTCCCAACCGACCTTTCTGCACTCAACACGCAAGATGGTAAGTCAAATAAAAGTTCACCAAATGTGATGTGCTTTTGAACTTTGTGGATGTTACGGATTTGTAGAAAACTTATCCGGCAAAATTATTGACGCAATTTTTTCTTTCGTGCGACGTTTGCTGTCTGTTTTACTCTTGCAGTGGCTGCTATGCAGTCGATCCGCATGCGGTGCTGTGGACAGTATTGAAGACCATGGCCAAAGACACGATGACTACGGCCATGGTCGGTGAGGCATGGCGGTCACATCCGTGTCAGCGTGATGGCGGTCGGCGATTACGACCGAGTGCTGCGGTGATTCGCACCATGGAGCACGCTGCTATGCCTATGGGGGTTACGTGGTGAAGGTTACAGAGGAGCAGTGGTGATCGACGCATATATGGTCGCGGGGCGAACGCCAAGTGAAGTCCTATAAACCTTGAAAATAAAAATTTGGTGTTTGCTTGTGTTTGTTGAAACCATTTTTATAATCTGCCGTATCTCTTTAAACTATATAAAACGAACCGTTTATTTTATCACATCGCGCTCATAATAGTACGACTGTAACCTTTCATCGTCATTAGTCTGGTGTTAGATGCGTTCTGAACAGCCTTGCTGTCGCTTATTCGTCATTCAATGTAACCGATCTGAATTGTTGGTTTATTTAATGACAGATGAAAAGCCCGAAATAATAATTGGCACAGCAACAATCCCACTGCATCGCAGATCAACCAGTGTTTCAAGGACTTTCTGACCTTGTCTGACCATTATTAGTCGGCAGCACCGAAAATATCAATTGCAAAGACACAAATGCATTGATTGATCCTGACATTAAAGGCTCATGAATTAAATCGGCTATCAAATTCACAGAATACGGAGATTATCCTTTAATTATCGTGTGTTTGGGTATCCGTAAGGCTGGATAATAGAATATCAGGGTTGGAACACATCTGCGAATTCATTTTTCTGGCGAGACTGGCTTGAAGTCCTTATCGCACTTTTTTCTGTTCAGTCGGCAAACGCTAGGTTATTGAGCACCTGCATCCTGTACGAAACATTAAAGCGCCCGTTTGTTTGTGCAGTCGACGCATAAATGGATTAGTACCTGAAGGACCATGAATTACATCAAAGTTATATAATGACATGATAATGGGGTCGGAATTTCCGGTACGACATTTGTTAATGGCAGGACAGGTCCCAAATAAGTCAAAATGTCTGGAGGTTGGTAGGCATTTGCAGTATAAAGGACAAACTTTTAGTGTGTGAAGAGTGTTCAAAATGACGAGGGGAGGTTGATGGGGACGTCCTTTCCCGGCGGAGATACGTAGTCAACGTACTGTCAACTGGGGGCATCCCACTTTCTAAGTCTCGTGTCAGTTTTGTTCAGCAATACTTGAGGTTGCATGTAGAGAACATGGAGTTCTGTTTTCGGCTGTATCAATTTGTAAGTATTAAGCAAACCAAAGGTAGAATTTTTATATCTGTCCGTTATTTAACGTTGAAGTTTCAAATTTTAGTAGATTGTTTAAATAATGAAGCAATTGAGATAATGAGTTGGCAACCTAATGTCCAGCACAAGATTCTGTCCAATTTTATTATTAAACAATGTACAAACATTTGGAAATTTCAGACCTAAATAACAATGAATTATTAAAAAAGTATCTTTGGTTTGTTTAGCCGCATTCCACAGTGTTAAAGCCGAAACCAAGATCCACTAATCACCTTTACACGCAGCTGTACTCGCTAATTGCCAGACAAAATCAGAGCATCGACCTGCGTGAGTCACTCCAACCATGAAGTGTATCATTGATGGTTTAGATGGCAACAAAGTGGTCAGTTAGACTCAATTGCCAACAAGGGTATCAAGTTTCTAAAGATAGTAAATATTCCTCATTACGAGGAAGGTATTTAACTACAGAAGGTTTTGAATGTACGATGAAAGACCAGAGTCCATTGCACCACGATCTCAGTCCACCAATCGAGAGGATAAAGGTATTACTGTAAGGCACACCGAGTGCTGTAATGTGTGGGAAAGCATATGGAAATACGTAATGCAGCAGCACAGAAGCGACATAGGCAACGGAACCAGCCCCTAACAGTCTAGTAGAACCCGTGTTGATGAGCTCAGACAAACAGTAATGGGATATCAAGAAATGCTTAAAAGAATTTTGTGCCATATAGTGATGTTGCTCTTTGTTAATAAAGATTGTTCAAGAGAAATGAAACATTAGTAGACGGAATCAAATAAATGTTATTGTGATAGCAATCTAGAGCAAAAATGGCAATCATGGTCTGTTAGAAACAGAGTTGGTTCTGGCTTTCTAGAGAGAATATAAACAAAAATTCTGGTGATTTGACGAGCACTTGACTGTTTTGGAATATATGGAAATCTATGGGACGTACGTCAAAAGAATGTTCTTATTTCGTGAAGAAGAGGGAAAATTTATTCTAATGGCCCAATGTCAGCTTACCTATGAATGTTAATAGTTTGAAAAAAATAAAGTTTAATCTGATCTTCATGTCGTTCATTCTAGTAGTATTAATGTTATGGCTTTGGTAAGAGGTTGGGACAAACGGAATATCTTTGCAACTAAGAGTAGTTATCAAAGTTTTGAAATTGCCAGTTGATTGACTGGAAATTATTGAGGTTTCACGACTTATATCAAAGATATTCATTCCGCTCTAAAAATAAGGTACCGAGTATTTATGTTAGTATTACGCTTCAAGATGCTACACTGTTCATTATAAATGGCGCACGCTGACTTTGACGAAGCCGATGATCTGTCGGACATTGTTTTGCTGATGATTGTTTACTAATTGGTGATTTGAATGCTAGGCATAACAATCTTAGTCAGCAGAGCAATGAAATGGTTCTTGAAAATACCTTAGACGAGAGAAGATGCTAAGTTTAACATAAGATTATATGTATTCATTTTGTTATATCTCATTTATGATTAGCACAATTTAAAGAGCCTTGTTAAGACTAAGTTTTGTGGGCTAGTTAGCATGCTAACCAGCTCCTTTTGATGTATTTGTCAATAAATGTTTTGAAATTGAATTTGACCTGATCGAGTGGAGAGCAATGGTTACCTGTCTCCCCGGTACTGGTCACGCACACGCGCCACCACAAGAGTCAAATAAACAACCCTGGGGCTGAACTAATATTGACATAAAATATAAAACAAGGTAACAAAATTGTATGATCAGACCATTTCTCCAATACAATGTACTAGATGCACAAAGGCTGAGGCAACATATTAAAAGGGTATAATGCAAGGTGTACGAACTTCAGCTGAACCCGGCACCGTGTTGATGAAACGAGCTGACGAACCATCTCTGTGCGACCCATTTACACAGAGAAGTATAAGTTACAATTTCCTTCCTGCACCTGACTCCAAAAACCATAATCAGGACAATGAAATAAAGGGACAAGGGAGAATGGCTGAGTCATAAGAGGATTACATCGTAAGGACACAGTTGGTATTAAACACAGGGGAGATAGATAGCGGAACATAAAAACCAACAGAAATAGTTGACGAATTATGAAACCGAATAATCCTAGATTCACCCGTGACAGGGTGCCAGTTAGGTTGGTGCTGTCTGTGCTGCTAGGTTAGTTACGCTGCTGTTGGGATAGGTTAGGTTACGCCACGTCTGGTTGGATTAGTCATACAATAAACTGGTATTAAAGTGCACAGAAAGACCATAATACTGCCTACCAGATAAGACTAAACACACAAGACCAATGTATTCTCTTAATCTATTATCTTGATTAATTCAGACTGACCTTTCTGCACTCAACATGCACAAGATGGTAAGTCAAATATAAGCTCATTACTGTACGTGATGTAAGTTTATTGAACTTTGTGGATGTCGATGGATTTGTACAAAATTTACTTCTAAATTATTGACTTAAATTTTTTTCTTTTTCAGGTGATCGTTTGGTTGTCTGTTTTACTTCTTGTGGTGGTTGCTATGGCCGATCCTGGGTATGGTGGCTATGGACAGTACGAAGACTATGGCCAAGGACACGATGAGTACGGTCGTGGCGGTCGTGGTGGATATGGCCAAGGTGGACGTGGCGGTCGTGGTGATTATGACTACGGAGGCTATGGTGATTCGTACCATGGAGGACAAGGTTATGCTCATGGGGGTTACGGTGAAGGTTACAGAGGATACGGTGACTATGGACGTTACTGATATGGTCGTAAGGAAAACGCCAAGGAATTTATAAACCTTAAAAAATAAAAATTCTTGTGCTTCTATTGTGTTTAATAAAACCCATTTTTTTTATATTCTTGCTGTATTCTTTAACTCAATAGTTTAAAAAAAAACAGTTTATTTTATCACACGCGCTCATAACAGTACGAATGTAACCTTCAGACGTAATGTTACGTCTGGAGTTAAGATGCGTGGTTTGAACACCCCTGACCGTCTCCTATTCGCACACACTAATGTAACTGATCTGAATTTCTCCTGGTTTATTTAAATGTTTGTGATGCAGTGAAAAAAAAGCCCTCGAAATACCGAATCGGCACAGGCAAATCAACCTAATTTACTGCGATTAACCAGTGTTTCTGGGGGTTGACACGCGTGTAACATGACCATTATTAATCGGCAGCACCGAAAAATATCAATTGCAAAACATACAATGTATTGGATTGATCCTTGACACAGCTTGCATTAAGACCGGGCTAGTCGGGGGCCGTAAGGTAATGGATGGAGATTACGTTTTACCACGTGTTTGCCGTACGTGGCCCATGACCCGTAAGGCTGGGAGAATAGAATCGTTTGGCTGGAAATACATCTGCGAATTATTTTTCTGGCGAGACTTTTGGCTTGAAGTCCCTATCAAGAATTTTTTTTCTAAAATTTGTCATAAAATGGGGCTAGGTTATTGAGCACCCTGTGCAAGCCGTAGTGCAAAAGCGATTAAAGCGCCTAGAGTTTGTTTGCGTAGTCGACGTGCATAAAATGGATTAAGTACCTGAAGGACCATGAATTTCATCGGCAAATTATATGACAGGATGATTGTGGGGTTGGAATTTCCGATACAATACATTTGCTAATGGCAAGGTGTGACATGTGTCAAATGTCTGGAGAGAGATTGGTCAGGAGGAAAGGGTGTTGGTAGGCACAGGCATTTGCAGTATAAAGGGACAAACTTTTAGTGCGTGTGATGAGTGTTGCAGCGACGAGGAGGTTGATGGGGGACGTCCTTCCTGGCGGAGATACGTAGTCAACGTACCGTCAGCCAAAGATGCACCGACCCCACCCTAAGTCTCGTGCTCGCAATTTTGTCTGGCAATACTTGAAGTAAGGCTGCATGTAAAGGTGATTGGTGGCTCTGTTTTCGGCTGTATCACTCAGGATAAGTATTAAGCAAACCAAAGGTAGAATTTTTATATTAATACACTATTCATTGTTATGTAAGGTTGATAAGTTTCCAAATTTTAGTAGATTTGCTTAAATAATGAAGTAAATTATATTAATGAATTGGCAACTCTACTATAACCGCAGCTGCCACAAGATTCTCGTCAAATTTTATTTATTAAACAAATGTACAAACATTTGGACATTTCTGAGGACCTTAAATAACAATGAATTTATTAAAAAAACGTATCTTAGGTTTGTTTAATATTTATCCTGACAATGATAAAGCCGAAACCAAGATCCACCAATCACCTTTACATGCAGCCGTACTCCAAGCATTGCCAGGTAAAATTGGAAGAACGAGACCAGGGTGGGATCTGTGCGTCTTTGGCTGACTGTACAGGTCATCTGTGTGGTCCAAAGGCGGGGAGACCTGGAGTTGGGGATCCTTCATCCCTGGTCCCATAGAGACTAGGTGAAAGCAGCCTAGAGGCAGTAGGAATGGCCCTCAGGTGGTGGACAAGTTGAGGCGCGAAGTAGACAGGGTGGAGTCAGGCGACGCGCTGGGAGAGCAAATTCGTCTGGCCAAGCCGGGAGGGCGACGCGGCAGAAGTGACAGCCGGCAGTTGAGGCAATCTGTTGGCGGGTGGGGCTTAGTGTACCATGTGGCGGTGTAAACCAGTGACGACGGCATGGAGGGATCCAGAGAGAGAACACGAACTGAACGGTCACCTCGTCGGAGGAGCTGGTGGGGGGGGGGGACAAGTGGTAGCACTAGGCCTGGCTGCGTTGAGTAGACTGGTAAGAGGCCTAGGGGTCGTCAGCAGAGCGTTGAATCAAATTGAAACAGTTTATTTAGCCAGAAAAACAGATACGGAGTGGGTATTAACAAGGCGACAGTGTTGAGAAATTGAGCTCTCCTGTTGACACCCGATATATACTATACATGTATCAAGGAAGTGTTATGCAACATTTAGTATCTGGAGTAGTACAATAGCATGGTGGTAAAAAGAACATCTCCGAATGTTACCAAGGTTATCACTTCAATATTTATAAATTTTATTTAATTACCTTTTGTTTATTTTATATTGGAAGTATCTACTTAAATTAGTGGAATTGAAAACAAATAATGGTGAAGCAGTACATCAAGACGAGGCCATGCCGGGGAAGGCTTGGCCCTGGCCCGAGTGGGGAAGTGTTAGTCGAGCAGGGCTGCCTGGCAGGGAGGGGGGGGGGTTAAAAAGCCTTGGGATGGGTGTCTTGTTCTGTGGAACAGACGGAGGGTTAGTGCAGTGCCGCGAGTTAAGACTGTATCGGCCACGAACATTGCAGCATTTTTTTTTCAATTACCAGACCCAAACCACCCCTAGCATATTGTCATAATATTATACGAGTCCTCAACACCAAGCTCAAGAGCACCAGTCCAGATTATGGTAAATTTAATTTTAATTTGTTTGTGCCGGTTCAGTATTCCGAGGGAGGCCTTTCCTCTCAATAATTAATATGTGGTTAAACCGATAGAAATTCCGATCGGCTAAATTTGTGTGCTCAAACCCCGCATCTCCTTAATAACTCTGGTTGTGGTTTCACACCAGACGTCGTGACACGTCTCAAGTTAAGTTCGTACTGGTATGAGAGCGTGTGTAATTAAGGTAATCTAATCATTAACAAACTATTTATGGTACATAAAATATAACTATAAAAAGTTAAAATTTTATTATATACATAAAATATAACTAAAAATTTAGATTTTATTATATACAATCGACAAACAAGATATTACATTATTGGAGGTTTGTAAATCATTCCACGGTCTCCTCCCATGGCCCTGATCATTGTGTCCTCCCATGGCCCTGATCATTGTGGCCTCCACGGCCCTGACCATTCTGTCCTCCACGGCCCCGATCTTCGTGTCCTCCACGGCCCTGGTCATTGTGTCCTCCACGGCCCCGATCTTCGTGTCCTCCACGGCCCCGATCTTCCTGTCCTCCACGGCCCCGATCTTCCTGTCCTCCACGGCCCCGATCTTCCTGTCCTTGGGGAAGTAAAGACGTGGCCTCCTTGAAGAGCTACTGCCATCTACACCATCAGTGGGGCTTACACTCGTTGTACTGATCATGGTTGAAGAGTGACTCACACCATCAATTTTCTTTCGCTTATCCACCAAGTGGGAAATGTTATCTTCACTGCTTGTACCATCTCTATTCCTCCCTATATTTTTCTTTTTGCTATTAACAACTTTAAATGAATCTTGTTCTTCACATTCACTGTTGGGATAGGGAAGTTAGGTTTCGCTACGTCTGGTTGGATTAGGTTAAGCACAATAAACTGTATTAAAGTGCGCAGAAAGACCATAATTACTGCCTCACTATAGATAAGACTAAACACACACAAGACTAATGTATCTCTCTTAATCTATTACTCTTGATTAATTTATTCACTAAATAAGAATATGGACGAAAAGTCCAAGTTGTTGAGGCTCGGTAATACATCATAACATCAACATATAAGAGAAACATTATTATAAGGTAAACAAATATAAAAGTTTCCTTTTATTCTTCAGTTATCTCAACAGTCACCAGAGGCAACAAGAATGGAGGAAATGTAAGGTCAGTGTAAGGTCATGACATTTATGTTACCTTGACTGAGTGACTGAATGACTGGTTCAGTTGTAACTGATGGTGGTGGTGACGTCATCAAAGGGTACACTATAAGTGCGGCAGGAGGCCGCCGGAGAGTCAGTCTCAACTGGACCTTCCTGCACTCAACATGCACAAAATGGTAAGCCAAATAAAAACTCATTATTGTACGTGAAGTAAGTTAATTGAACTTGTGGATGTCGATGAATTTGTACAAAACTTCCATCTAAATTATTGACTTAAAAATGTTTTCTTTTCAGGTGGGCGTTTGGTTGTCTGTTTTACTTCTTGTGGTGGTTACCATGGCCGATACTGGGTATGGTGGCTATGGACAGTACGACGACTTTGACCATGATGATTATGGCCGTGGACGACGTGGTGATTATGGCCATGGCGGACGTGGTGATTCTGGCCGTGGAGGATACGATGATTCTGGCCGTGGAAGTTATGGTGTTTCTGGCCATGGAGGTTATGGTGATTCTGGCCATGGAGGTTATGGTGATTCTGGCCATGGCGGTTATGGTGATTCTGGCCATGGAGGTTATGGTGTTTCTGGCCATGGAGGACAAGGTTATTATGTTCACGGGGGATACGGTGATGGCCACGGAGGGTACGGTGGACATGGTCGTTATTGATATGGTCGTTGGAATAAGTTAAAGAATTTATAAAAATTCAAAAATAAAGTTTTTTGTGCATCTACTGTATTTAATAAACCCAAATTTGTTTAGGATTTTGCTGTATTCATTTCCTCAACATTTTAAGTTTCTTTTAAAACACGCTCGAAACCGCACGAATATCCCCTGATTGTCCTTTATTTCCTGTTAGGGTAAGATACGCACCTTTCCTTTACATATTTTAATAAGTTCTTAAGCACACGTGTAACACTTTGATATGAAAAGTTATCCAAGATAACTTGTGTTAATATTATAGCTGGCTCTTAACTTGGTCAACATTGTATGGATTAATTTGATAAAGTACACTTCATTTTCTAACGCGTTTGTGGCGCCTGCTGGTTAATTCCTGACTACCCCACTTGGTCACGTGCTCCTGACCGCTGGAGGACGCTAAAGATGGAAGGGTTTTTAATGACCTTGCATCGAGTACGTCAGGAGGTTAATGTCAAAGATGGAAAAGGTTCGTCAGTGCGGTTGGTTTCCGCACGAGGATGGTGACTACTTTTTTAGATGTATCGAGTTGTCGAAACGAAATGTGGCATCAAGGACACTACTTCTCTTCTCGTCCAACTTTTAATGATGCCGTCATTTCGCTGACTCCATTTGTTGGATTCAGATGTCCAGGTGACAGTCAACCGCGTCGGAAATGTAAAGAATGAGAACAAGTTAACAAATCTCCCGTCTAATTCATGGGATTGATTTCGCGATTTACTAGAAAATTGGAGGGTTCAAGCTGCTGTCCATAAAGATTCACCCATGGCACAGTCGGTTGCATTTCTCATTTATTGCAACAGATCTGCTGGGAGTTTGTACCATTAGTTTTCTCTTTGGTGTCAAAGTTCAACCTGAAAACATACACTGACACGCCTAGTTTTCCAGTAAGAAAAACGTGGCAGATGATTATCGCTACCGTTCCACGGTTTCAGCTCTCCTCGCTTCCCAGGCAGTATTGCTCCAGCTGGCACAGGCTTCATAGGCTGCAAAAACTTACACACGACAGTCCTCCACCGGCGGACTTAAGAGGGTATCTAGACAACCTACGCCTACTGACAGTCCACGGGACTATCCATTCAACCAGTGGTGCGAGAAACCCTGGAAAAGGCGATGCTGGCACGCATAAACCTTCGACGCGAGGCATTTGCCTATCTTGACCCCTCAGTTCTACAGGAGATCCTTCGAGACAACCCTCTATGACCAACTCTGGTGGATGAACAGAACCTCAACCGTTCCACCGTCGTCACGGTCAACCTCGCGGGAAAAAGAGGGTCGCCCGATTTTTCGGTCCTGCACAGATAGGAAGAACACACAAACGGCCCCCAACCAACATCGTCGCCCCACAAACCAGCTGCTTGGCTAGTAAGAGGCCCGGCCGCAGGGAACATGGGCCTGAAGGAATGTTAAACGAGGACTCTCCTGGACTTGGAGAAGCTTACCACCTCTTCGTCACCCTCCACCCCTCACAGCCATTACAGAGGCAGTACAAGTTCATGTTGACCAAATGAAGGAACCAACACCATCCCCGGTCCCCAGTCTTCCTTTCAAGACCTTTCACCGTCCCCAAGCGGGACTCCATCAAAGATCGACTAGGGATAGACCTAAGCTCACTCAACCGATTCGTGATAGCCACGAGGTTCGTAATGGTGACCGTGACGTCAGAGATCGTGATTAACAGCGCTAGATTTGGAAAATGCGTACTGGCACGTCCGGATCCCTCCGCGATCCCGCATATTCCTGGCATTCCAAGCCGTCGCAGAAGCACTTCAATTTAAAGTTATGCTCTTCTGCCTCTCCATAGCACCAAGAGTGTTTACCATGATGATCCGGATAGTAACAGATGTCTTAACTACCAAGGGCGCCAATTCCCTGTTCTACTTGGACGACTGGCTAATTTCCGGTCCACCCAATCACGTGACGTCCACCATGGACAACACCACCATTCAGACAGCTCAGGACATTAGTTTAAATTCAACTTCCCGAAGTCATCTTTAGTGAAATACAACGCCTGGAATGGATTGGGAAACTGCAGCGGAAATTGTTCTCGGCGATGATGTCAACATCAGTAGAGTGGAGCCGCCAGTGTTCGCCTCTCTAATGGAGAGATGGAACAGACCAAATGTGGATCTGTTCGCAGCTCCCAACACACAGCTGCCTTGGTACATCACCCGCTCACTACAGACACCAGCGAAGGTCCAGATGCCTTTACGACGTGCTGGAACAGGTGGGCCTTCATATACCTGTTTCCTCAACCCCTTTCTAGGATCCCCTCCGAGTCTGCCTCCAGCTTCGTTTCTTCAGGGGAAGTGTTTCACTCATAGCTTCTGTTTGGAGGGCACAGCCATGGTGCATCATCCTCCTCCGGTGGTGCCCGAATTCCTTCCTCTGGACAACTGCCTACAGGTGGATGGAGCATGCAACTCTGGAAGTGCTTAAGCTTACACGCGAGGCATTTCTTCAACCCGTATTCAAGGACCAGTTCTCTGAACAAGTAAAGGAAGATATCATCCGAGGACTTAGGCAGTCAACTTTACGACAGTAGCAGTAGTGCTGGAAATCTTTTCAATCATTCCTCAGGGAGCAAGGATCGTCACCCATCTCAGAGAAGGTCTTCCATTTCCTGTCTTCCCTCTTCCACAACTAATGAAGAACTACCTCGACGGTCGCGTGTCCCTGAGCGGCGCTGGCTGACCCTTTGCTCTATGGTTTTCGCATTTCATTACACCAAAGGTCTCTCAACCTAATCAGAAGGAGCTTCTTCCTGCAGCGACCACCTCCGAGACAGGAAAAGCCGTTCTGGTCAGAACAGAAGGTTCTTGTTAATTTACAAACTCCACGGTTCACAGAAGCTCCGTTGCTGGAGGACCAGTTGAACCTTGTTCCTCGTGCGTTGGCATCAAGCCTTCGTGCATCCCAACTCAAGGCGCTGACACGCTACGGAAATTGGACTTCCTTTGTTCCGGACCCGTCCCACGTCTCCCTAGCTCCATCTCCAAGCTCGCTGTTGCTATATTGGCGTGGATAGAAGAAGGCACTCCCTTTGTCCAGTAGCCGCGCTGCGAACTTACATCCAAGCTACTAAGGACGCTAATCTCTCCTCATTGTTTGTCTGGCACAACACCTTACAGCCATGTTCGCCGGCTCATATTGCTCTCATTTTACAAAAGGTCATCGAGGCGGCTGAAGTTCTTGAAGTTCGCTAGGTTCCGTTCAGTCAAGCATTTCCACGCACAAAATCATTAGCACGAGTGAGGAAGGACAGTGGGAATTCACAGTATCTTTTTGCAAGGTACCTAGCACTGCCCCTAGAGGCCTAGAGGACACACCGGTTTAACCTAATGCGAATCTTATCTTAGGTACGTACTTTTTCACATGCAATGGCGTAGCCAGGTGCAGTTTAGTTGTAAGTTATCTCCTTGTTCTTTTAGTAGGATTTTTGTTGCATTTATGTATTTTCATCTAGGCATGAGTGAGTTGGGTTTCCATTAAACGAGCCGATAAGTTTATCGGCATTTGTGTATTACCAATAAAGTTTCTGCAATGTGGAATGGCTTTTTGTTGTTTGTTCTGATGCTACCTGCAGTCCTCCTCCAGTCCCATGCAGTGGGGTACTGTCCTGCCCAAGTCACTAGAATATAGACTTGAAGGATTGAAAAGTCTATTTTAGTGGTGGGTTGAGAATGAGAACCCCACCTCTCACACACCTCTACAACGCAGGTCCTCTACGCTTGGAATACTGAGGACGGTTCAGGTGAGAGTTCACTGTCGGGTTTGAAGATAACGACAAAACGGTGAGGATGACTCATACCGTTCCTGTAGTAGTTTTTAGATATTTTTACCTTTTTTTATAAAATGGAAGCTTAGTGTAGCCTATTCTTGTTTCAGCGAGTACAGATGTCATAGTGATCCCATTTTTCTTCCTATTAGGGGCTTTTGAGGATCTTAAAAAAGCAGGTAACTAGTTCAGCCCCACCACTAAAATTAAACTTTCAATCCTTCAAAGTCTATATATTGTTTGACTGATGCAGTTCTGAATTTGTATATGCCCTGTAAGTGTCCTGTTTGCGATCGGTGTCTTTGTCTTGATGTGTTAGTTCATGGTGAAGGAGCCGTCGAATGTGACTCTGAACACAGGAATGGGAGTTAAGTTATCGATGTATGGCTTTAGATATATGTGAGAGTTGTCGTCTTTATGTTACTGTGTATTTTATGCCAAGCGTTAGTTAAGGTAAACAAATATAAAAGTTTCCTTTTATTCTTCAGTTATCTCAACAGTCACCAGAGGCAACAAGAATGGAGGAAATGTAAGGTCAGTGTAAGGTCATGACATTTATGTTACCTTGACTGAGTGACTGAATGACTGGTTCAGTTGTGACTGGCGTGACTGATAGTGGTGATGGCGTCATCAGAGGGGGCAGTATAAAGGCAGCAGGAGACAGACGTAGAGTCAGTCTCAGCCGGACCTGCCAACACTCAACATGTACAAGGTGGTAAGCCACATAAAAACTCACTACATCAAATAAATTCACTAAACACTTTGTGAACCTCGACAAACTTGTACTTGTGCTCAACTTACACCTAAATTATTGACTGGAAAATGTTGTCGTCTTTTTCAGGTGATCGTTGTGTTGTCCGTCTTCCTCCTTGTGGCCTCTGCCATGGCCAGCCCCATGCCCGACCCTGGCTATGGTGGCCATGGTGGATATGGCCACGGTGGACACGGGGGTGGATATGGCCACGGTGGACACGGAGGCGGATATGGACACGGTGGTCACGGCCACGGAGGAGGACACGGTGGTGGACACGGTCATGGTGGCTATGGATATGGTCGGTGAAGAAAATACTCAAGACCCATTACTTTCTACACATTATATCACCAATAATGGAAAAACTTCTGTTCTCCAGTGATAATAAAATCCGATTTTTTTCGAGTGCATTTTGCTGCCCTTACCTTCATCCTAATAATTAACTCGACATTAAAGTTTACCTTGAAATCACTCATGCTTCCATACCTGTACGAATGTAACGTATGACCTATCTGTAACCACGTCTCATATAAATGATTAAGGAAAGCCGTGGTTTGGTCTCATCAAGGCCGTCGGCTACTCACATACGAGTATATACACTACAATAGTGGAGCCAATCACGGTGTCCATACTACTAGACCAACAGGTGACACACGCACTGAACATAGACCGCGTAAAGTCATAGTTATATTATGTGTTTTGTTTGTAGACATCCCATCCTCTCTACCAGCTTAAGGACCTCACTGGGACGGAGTGTATACTGGTTCTGTTGGGATGTCCTTGGTCAAATCTTCTCACTATTGTTTGTATCTACGAACTTGTAAGGTGATTTTACTGAATAAATATATGGTTATTTATCTATTATCTATCTATGCATCCATATATATATTTTATATACCTATCTATAAGAATATATATATATATATATATATATATATATATATATATATATATATATATATATATATATACTTAGGTGAGGTTAAGTTCAATTTACAAAAACTCACAAAATTTAGAATATTTATATGAGTGTGAGATTTCTCTTGCCTCATTAATTATTTTTTTTTTTGTCAATTAGTGATGATTTTTTTCTTTTTTTTCACTGTCCTTTCTTCTTCACTAAATTATTGTTTATTCTACCATTGCAAATAGGTAGTACGTAGTATATAGCAATCAAACAGGAGGTACTACCGCCTGAGAAGATATTGAAGCATAATGTGTGTATAATGGTAGACCCTGCTGCCATATGTGACCAGGTTGATGATCTGACTTTCTGCCTCATTTACACAAATTGCAGGGTCTTGTTTTCTCTTACTACGACAACACAACATACATACTGCATTTGCTCAATCTTGATTTATTTATTTTATTTTTGTATTTTTTATTATTATTATTATTATTATTATTATTATTATTATTATTATTATTATATATTTTCAGCCCTGTCCTGATGTGGGTCAGTGGCCGGTTTGTGTCTGTTTGGGAGATGCACAGTGTAGTAAAGGTTATTTCATAATCCACCTGACTTTTATTTATCGAAGTAAACCACCAGAATACCAATTCTAGCAAGTTATTGGAAGGATTTTTGTTATTGAGAATATCCGCTATTGAAAAGTCCGTTATTGAGAGGGTTTGCTCTATTAGCTTCTAGGAGATAGAGGCGATACTGAGAAGAATTTATAAATGTATTAATTAAAACGTATACCTGTAGTTAAGGTTTATTGCAACGTTCTATACAGGTGGGGTTTAGTTGCTACACAGGTGGGGTTTAGTTGCAACATGCTACACAGGTGGGGTTTAGCTGCAACATGCCACACAGGTGGGGTTTAGCTGCACATGCTACACAGGTGGGGTTTAGCTTGCAACATTCTACAGGTGAGGTTTAGTTGCAACATTCTACACAGGTGAGGTTTAGTTGCAACATGCTACACAGGTGGGGTTTAGCTGCAACATGCTACACAGGTGGGGTTTGTTGCAACATTCTACACAGGTGAGGTTTAGCTGCAACATGCTACACAGGGTGGGGTTTAGTTGCAACATTCTATACAGGTGGGTTTAGTTGCAACATTCTATACAGGTGGGGGAAGGCAACATGCCACACAGGTGAGGCTTTAGTTGCAACATTCTACAGGTGGCAGGTGAGGCTTAGTTGCAACATTCTACACAGGTGAGGCTTAGCTGCAACATTCTACAGGTGAGGTTTAGTTGCACACATTTTAGTTGCACATTCTACACAGGTGGTTTAGTTGCTACATTCTACACAGGTGAGGTTTAGTTGCAACATTCTCACAGGTGAGGTTTAGTTGCTACATTCTACAGGTGGCGTTTAGTTGCTACATACACACAGGTGAGGTTTAGTTGCAACATTCTACACAGGAATGTTACAACAAAAATGACTGCATGATAACTTCTTCAATGTGATCGTGTTATAGGAGGAAAAAATATAGTGTTTTTGTTTTGTACTCTGTGCAAAGTGTTCTATGTATTGGTGAATATCTTTTGTTGTGAAATATAAGGTATTATATTATTTAGTTTACGTAACATTAACCAATCAGAATCCAGAAAATTATCATATGGTAACATTTCCTCTCAATAGACAAACTAACAGGAAAAGTTTCTTTGCTAATGACTACACCACAATACCAAGGAGACAGAAATTTCCCGTTTTTTGTGTGTTTTTCTCCACTTTATGTGCAGGGTGTTTCAAAATTTCACCACAACTGCTCTCGGTAAAATAACTGATGCGTCACCTTATATACTACAAGAGTTTATGTTTACCCTATACAAGGTGATTCAGCAAAGAGTACATTAAATTGGATCATGAAATCTTTGGATAATTTTAAACCACAATGTGTCTATGGTAAAATGTCAGATTCTGCTTATGCCCACGTGTTGGTGACAGGTGCGAGCAAATTAAACATAGTCCAGACAATCAATGGTACAACGTGTACAGGCCTGCATTGAGGCAGAAGGAGGCCACTTTGAACATTTCCTTTAGGTTGTAAGAAAGAGAGGTCTCACTGTACAGATCTGTGAATAAATTATTACAAAAACCTATGGGGGGTTTCACATCAAATTCGCTCTCATTAATACAACAACTTAAATGTATTTTAACATGGAAACTATGTAGAATTTGACATTTTGCCATAGAGACATTGTGGTTTAGAATTATCCAAGGATTTCATCATCTAATTTAATGTACTCTTTGCTGAATCACCCTATATAGTAGTAAAAGACTAATTACAGGTATGTCGGTCACGTGGTCTAGTCGATGTTGACGCAATATATCATAACTGTTGTCATAATACACGTTGATAAAAAGAAAACACTCGATAAGAAAATAGTTTTTATTTTATTAAATCAAAACCTTTGTTATGTTAGTTAAGAGTTGTAGAGTACAGTGTGTCGTGAAGGCGTACAGTATTTCTCCTTGGGTAGTGATCATGTCCGTTATAAGATCTTCATTATTATCTTCAACGACCATATCCATAGCCACCATGACCATGACCACCCCCGTGTCCTCCGCCATGGCCATAACCACCATGTCCTCCATGTCCATATCCACCCCCATGTCCACCGTGGCCATATCCACCTCCATGTCCACCGTGGCCATATCCACCTCCGTGTCCTCCATGGCCACCATAGCCAGGGTCGGGCATGGGGCTGGCCATGGCAGAGGCCACAAGGAGGAAGACGGACAACACAGCGATCACCTGAAAAAGATAACATTTTCCAGTCAATAATTTAGATGTAAGTTGAGCACAAGTACAAGTTTGTCGAGGTTCACAAAGTGTTTAGTGAATTTATTTGATGTAGTGAGTTTTTATGTGGCTTACCACCTTGTACATGTTGAGTGTTGGCAGGTCCGGCTGAGACTGACTCTACGTCTGTCTCCTGCCGCCTTTATACTGCCCCCTCTGATGACGTCACCACCACCATCAGTCACACCAAAACCTGACTGATTTAAACTACCCTGAATACATTATCCGTTATAGTATATGATTTCACTGCATAAATAAAGCGTAAAGGCGTAACATCTCATTCACTTTGAGATCTGTTGAAGTGGAAAGTTGTGTTCTAATAATTGGTGGTAATTATTTATTTAATGACTCCTATTACATACTACTGAGTCTTAATGGTGCTTGTTAGGAAGTAGTAAATTGTCTTTCTAATTAATGTGTTATGTCATAATTAAAAGCTGTTACGTGTTGATATACCTGAACATTGACTATAACAAACACACACACACACACACACACACACACACACACTGCTGCGACAGACTAAAATAATGAAAGAATTACGACCCTCCATGAAAAAGTAAGGTCAATTTTATTCCGTGACAGATGGATTGATTAGGTTAGGTTAGGTTAGTTTAGGTTAGGTTAGGTTAGGTTAGTCTAAAGTTATTTAATCATAAGGTGAAAAAAGCTGGTTACCTAATCTTCAGATATAATCCGTCTAGGAAGCCATAGACAGATGTTCTCTCAAGAAAGAAGTGAATTAGTTCATTGCTAAAGATCTATACAGGTAATTGGAGCAGGTACTTTCCCCTCTGAGTGACGGTACAGGTGTTGGGGGGCAGGAGCCGTGACGAACACCCAGGTAACTGAAGGTGTTTTGGGTGTTTCATGTTCCGTCACGGTTACAACGCGTGACGGGGAGGGTGATGCTGGGGCTGGTACAACGTGGTGCTGAGTGGGTGTGGTATACCTGGACACACACCTGGATAAACACATGGATGGATGGATCTAAAAGCGTATAGAAAACATTATCTCATCGATATAGCAAACAGACACACACACACACACACACACACACACACACACACCAATAAGCCCTCAAACACCTCACTCGCCATCTGCTTACTAAGGAATCATATAAGACAAGAGTACATATTATTTACGCACAATTTGAACGCCTCGGAGAATAGATCTAACATTGATATTTACCTGATCTCTTTCTGGGTTTAAATTACTTGATATCACAAACACAAACAAACAAACACACCTGGTTTGGTTAGGTATTAGAAGGATAAAATTAATAATCAGGAAAGTTCCATGATCCTTAATTAAAGATATTGTTTATTACGCAATTTTTTATGTATTTGCAAACTAGATACTATTAAAAAAAAATATTATTTAACGGGCCTAATGCTAATCTGTATATGTGGGTTGATGCACAATATATTTGCTAACTTAGGATATACGCTTAAAGACCTTAGTTGTTGAAGTATTGTAATACATTATAACAACAACATCAACTCACATCCAGGAGGGACACTTTCTACCGAAGATGTTGTTCTCTCAAGTTTGGTTAAGATAATCTTCTTCGCGCTGGACTTGTTCAAATGGGTGTGCTGGTGGTCATGTGGGGGCGTTGGTCTTGTAAGACAATATTTCTTAGTGGCTTCCTTCCCGACCTGTGGATAATTGACTCCTGCAACTGTTTTGAGATATATGTAGCAACGAACTTATGTTTGTATTAAATGCTAGGTTATATAAAAATTTGAAAAACTATATGAAAATGTAATGAAAATAACCTTTGTTAATCTGGTGATCAAGTTTGGGATTTTTTATGCATGTCTTTCTCATCGTGAAGTGCTAAATATCTGACAATACGGAATTTACTATACCATTTATTACAGCAGCTGCAGCTGCTGCTGCTGCTGCTGCTGCTGCTGCATGATAAAGTCTTATAAAAGTATCTAAGAAATATTACTATACTATTTTAAATACTACTATAACACTCGCTCGTGTAGTGAAGTATTAAACCAATGGACTTCCCCTTAGACACAGTATTTTACCTTAACAGATATTAGTATCATTGAGAAGGTCATTACTTACGCGTTGTATTGTAATAAAAATCCTACAATCAACCTGGAACTGAACCAAATCAATCACTGGTCAGGTGTGTGGTGTGACTGATGGTGGTGACGTCATCAGAGGGGGCAGTATAAAGGCGGCAGGAGACAGACGTAGAGTCAGTCTCAGCCGGACCTGCCAACACTCAACATGTACAAGGTGGTAAGCCACATAAAAACTCTCTACATCAAATAAATTCACTAAACACTTTGTGAACCTCGACAAACTTGTACTTGTGCTCAACTTACACCTAAATTATTGACTGGAAAATGTTGTCGTCTTTTTCAGGTGATCGCTGTGTTGTCCGTCTTCCTCCTTGTGGCCGCTGCCATGGCCAGCCCCATGCCCGACCCTGGCTATGGTGGCCATGGTGGACACGGGGGAGGACATGGGGGTGGATATGGGCACGGTGGACATGGAGGTGGATATGGGCACGGTGGACATGGAGGTGGATATGGACACGGAGGAGGACACGGAGGTGGACATGGCCATGGTGGCTATGGATATGGTCGCTAGTGAAGAAACATTAAACTTTAAGAGGCGTAATATTCTACAGTTCTCAAACAACTCACAATAACTTTTATTTTACTACAATAAAAATTTTTACTTCCTGCGTGTCTTTTGTTGTCTTCACCTGTGCTATGATATCTGTTGTAAATATTAAGTTTGTATTGTTAAACCACCTGATCCATACGCCTTTAGATCAGATTGTAACAATGTGTATATTTGTGTGTGTATGTATGTTTGTGTGTGTGTATGTATGTGTGTGTGTGTGTGTGTATTTGTGTGTGTATGTATGTATGTATGTGTGTGTGTGTGTGTGTGTGTGTGTGTGTGTGTTATAATAATTATATAATTATGATGCTACTAAGCTACTAGTATTACTACAGCTACTGTCAATCTTACCAATATTACTACTACTAGTTGGCTTATGGACCTATTATCTTATTCCCCCGAGACATAGCAGAATAAACCTGAGCAGGAAAAAAGGATAAGCGGTATCTCAACCAAGCTCCAACGTAACTTCTGGAATGCTGTTTCTGTTCTGATAACACATCAGCCAGTCTGGCATAGAAGCACTTTGCACTTGGTCCCATCCCACCAGATGTTGTGAACACTAGAGGAGTGAAGCCGCCCTGGTCCACATTCTGGATTCTCTTTGTACGCTCTGTTCTTTTTGTTCTCAGTCCTCCCTGCTAGACAGGATATGGTGATATGTGGCCGGAGGATCAATTATCATTATATTAAAGAAGTCTCACTGTCCCCTCGTCCAGAATCCTCAAGCAATGACGTCTACTCAAGCTTCTGTGGTTATGGTGTCAGTCCTGTGAATGAACCGCTCACCATCCAGCGGGAGTAGAGTCGGTTCCATAGTGACGTTGCAGCATATCTCCATCAACAAATTTGCTGTGGGGTCCATTACTTCATCATGCACACAAACCTTCCTTCTTGCACAACATAACAGTGTTGATGTCTTAGAATTTTACACACACACACACACACACACACACACACACACACACACTGGACAATCGTACTTTAGAACAGTGGCATCTATAAATTTTTGTTTGTTGAGGCTGACACCATTTGCTCTTATCGCTAGAGTTGTTAGCCAGCTTGAGGCGCCCACCTCCTGTGCTACCTGAACTTTTCTCTTCACAATATTTTGCCGTTGTTGCATCTGTTGTTGAAGTTTTTCACTTTTTATTTGCTGATGTATTGATTTAATGGAACATTGAATTTTGCGTAGTTCGTTTGTGTCTACATCAGTTATGGTATTTTGAACTACTATGAGCTCAATGAAGGCTACCGTGAGCGTGACAGTGTTCTGATGTTCAGTGGCTGCAAGCTCCCCTGGGTTAGTGATTCTGATTCCTCCTTGGCTCGGTGGCAGTGCAAGGAGTGCTTGGACGCTTGATCTTGATGTTTTGCAGCATAGCCTTGCGGTTAAGTGCGTTGATAACATTGGAGGCGTCTACCAGGAGTACAACTTCGAAGTCATGATCTTAAAATACTGTATCTTTCTCATGACATGAAAGGCACCTTCTCCCTTAGCCTAGTGGCAGACACATACTGTACTTACAGTTTTCTTGCCGCTGCCCTGATACCCTCCCTGACCACCCACATTATACATTTACCAATAACTCATCTCGGCACTTCCTCCGTCCTTATTGTACTACATCCTGGATTTTTGTCCGAGGGGATGAGGCGGCTGGCCGTTAGAGCTCGTAGGTAGTGGTAACAGGAGGTGGCCAGCTTTCTTACAAGGGCGGCAATGACGTTGCAAAGTCACTTGCTGCGTCGCCAAACTTGTTATTGCTGAGGATAACTCTCATCCACTCACATCAAGTCCTGATGGGCTGGCCCCTCCATGGGTCTTAAGTGTTTTTTTCCAATTCATCTCTCATGTTATTTTCTCAAACATAACTGCGTTTGGCGGGGCATAATGACCCTGTAACCTGATAACTTCATCATCGCTTGCATGAGGCTGTTTCTCCTCCAGAAGTGTCATGATCTGTCTGTTTATAGGCAGCATCCCACGTGAACACTCATCTGTGTGAGATCTTATTGCCGACGCCATATTTCCTTTGCGCTCTTCTTACTAACCTGCCTGGCCGCATCATGGGAGTCCTGTTTCTGTCTCCTGAAAAGAGATCATCACGATCCTCCCTTTGCCACAGTGTTAGTCTTTTCTGTAATGCTGTTACATACTCTTTTTGAGTGTGTTCTTTGGCAGAATAGATGACGTATTATTGCCAGTTTGTAACAAGCAAGTGTGAGGCTAAGGGAGTGTCGAGAATATTGTTATGTATAAGGCGTGTCATCTCTTTAATCATTTATTTGGTGGTCCCAACATAAACAATGACCAGTTTTTAGCTATTCTTTTTATCATGACAGAAGAGATTTTCGTTATTGTAACTACGAGGTCTGAGTAGAAGTAATTACTGTATACTTGTATTTCATAATCGCTATCACTGTATTTTATAACTATAGTACCTGTACTTTATAACCACTGTAACCTGTATTCTATAACCACTGTACGTACAATACTTGTATTCATAACTTGTTCCGATATAAAAATATATACATAATGATAACTGATTTAGATTTTTTCTGTACATCTTTTGATAATTAGTAATATCAGACCAGTTAAACACTAGCCAGGACGACCTGTAGTAAATTGGTGTAAGTAAACAAATCAGCGTGTGCTTAGTGGGTGGAAAAGAAAAAAACATATGGTTGATTGTTTTCTGGTCAGGTTAATAAAGTTGCTCTAACACATTCTGTTACACATATTATATATATTATCATATCATTTTATTGTGAACGAGCTACTCTAGTGATAGTCATTAAGTAATAGAGTTAATGGTAAATATTTAGCTCTATGTTCCTGTCAGGTTATGTTTTGATTTCATCTCAAGAGATAAGCACGACTGGATTTCGGGAGTTAGTTTTTTACACTGAGAGCAGAAAGTTACATTGTTGATTTGTTGACCTGTGATTGATGGAGGACAATAGTTACGTGTGTGATGTGACTGATGGTGGTGGTGACGTCATCAGAGGGGGCAGTATAAAGGCGGCAGGAGACAGACGTAGAGTCAGTCTCAGCCAGACCTGCCAACACTCAACATGTACAAGGTGGTAAGCCACATAAAAACTCACTACATCAAGTAAATTCGCTAAACACTTTGTGAACCTCGACAAACTTGTACTTGTGCTCAACTTACACCTAAATTATTGACTGGAAAATGTTGTTGTCTTTTTCAGGTGATCGCTGTGTTGTCCGTCTTCCTCCTTGTGGCCGCTGCCATGGCCAGCCCCATGCCCGACCCTGGCTATGGTGGCCATGGAGGACACGGAGGTGGATATGGCCACGGTGGACATGGGGGTGGATATGGCCACGGAGGACACGGTGGTTATGGCCATGGAGGAGGACACGGTGGTGGACATGGCCATGGTGGTTATGGCTATGGTCGATGAAGAAACCATTGAAAAATTTTATGTTAAACATGGTAACTTCTCCTTGTCCTCCTCCCCCCTTCCTCCTCTTCCTCCTCCTCCTCCTCCTCCCCCCTTCCTCCTCCTCCTCTTCCTCCCTTCCTTCTCTTTCAAACAAGAGATATAAACATCAATAACAACTTTTACTCGACACTTCTAAAACAGTGACCAACACGAATTCTCGAGTTGTAGAAAAAATAAAAAACATTTTACTAGCATGTTTTTTTATTATTATTATTACCTTCATTATGTTACCTGCTGTGAGTTAATGTGTGATCAACAGACTGACAGATGGACTCGTTATTACTAAGAGGATAAACGTAAACTAATTAAGTGAATAATATATAATTATATAATAAATAATAAGGAAGGAGGGAAAATGGGTCAACAATTCTTCATTGTTAAACATATTGTTGATATCTTTCTCACTCGCTCATTCATCTGATTATAAACATTTCAGATACGTTGTGGAGTTATCTACACCTGCTATAATTTAATTAATAATGTCTAGTTGATGAAAAATCGGAAACTATTATCATGAACTTTATAACAATGCGATGAAGAAAATGTAGTATAGGATTATGTGAAGAGAATTATAACGAAAATATTATTATAAATAGTATGATAATTTTTAACATAATTGGAGAGTTAATTTGGAGTGTTTAACATGTAAAAGTGAGGATGTGTTAATGTTAAAATGTTATAATGTTAAGAACTAAGACCTTTAAGTCAGTAGTAGGTAATAAGCAGCTATCAAACAGGGAGGTACTACCGCCTGGGAAGATATTGGAAGTATAATGTGTTGTCTAATGGTGGACCCTGCTGCCATATGTGACCAAGTCCCAGGTTGATGATCTGACTTTCTGCTTCGTTTACACACATTTGCAGGGTCTCAATTGTTTCTCTTGTATTGACAACACAACATACATACTGTATATTGTTTCTCACTATTGATCTTTTTCATTTTTGTATTTCTTTATGGTTCTCTATCATTATCATATTATTATTAGTGTTGTTATTATTGTTATCATTATTATTTTATTTAAAATTTTGTATTATAAATTTTATATACTATGAATTATTATTATATTTATAATTTTGTATCATTATTATTATTACATTTTCGCCCCCCAGCCATTAACAATTAAAAGATACATATACGTTAATATTAATGTTATAATGTATTTCTGTGCTTTACTATAAGGTCTTTAAACACGTATTCTATATTGATAAGACAACCATGTGTCCAGTAGGGGATGGAGATGTAATGCTACACGATGGAACATATGAGAATGGTGAACCTTAATAATTACTGTATCTTCCTCTCTACTACACTGAGAGATAATGTTCTCTTGGGGGTTTATTCTCTCATTTATTTTCAACGGTAATGATAATCTGACTCCAGTCCATTGATCCTGGCCTGACGTGTATTAAATTCTAAGTTTGTATATTGATCCTGGTTTGATTTTAATTTGGTTAGATGTTCATTGTTATGTTAAGTTATTTTAATCATTAAAGGATTTAGTGTCGGATTTGGGCAAAAAAAAAGAAGGAATTATTCTTTGAAATCTACGCGTGTTGACCAACCTCTTAGATATGAGGGGCCTCTGTCGGCTGAGTAAAATCGTCTAAGGTTAACCAAATAATATATTAAAATTGGCGTCACTGTAGTGAAGTAGTTAAGGAGTAGTGTCGCACTTACGTAGGTAGTTTATTCTAGGTAACGCCAGATGATTTTATTCAGCCAGCAGAGAGAAACACCTGTGACTCAATGGTTAATAGCAGTTCAGTCGATTTCCTTCAGATTTAAAGAGACGTATTTTTATAGATAGGTATAAAAATATATATTGATGGATGGATAGATAGATAGATAGATAGATAGATAGATAGATAAATAACCATATATTTATTCAGTAAAATCACCTTACAAGTTCGTAGATACAAACAATAGTGAGAAGTAAGTCGATTTGACCAAGGACATCCCAACAGAACCAGTATACACTCCGTCCCAGTGAGGTCCTTGATGCTGGTAGAGGATGGGATGTCTTCAAACAAAACACATAATATAACTATGACTTTACGCGGTCTATGTTCAGTGCGTGTGTCACCTGTTGGTCTAGTAGTATGGACACCGTGATTGGCTCCACTATTGTAGTGTATATACTCGTATGTGAGTAGCCGACGGCCTTGATGAGACCAAACCACGGCTTTCCTTAATCATTTATATGAGACGTGGTTACAGATAGGTCATACGTTACATTCGTACAGGTATGGAAGCATGAGTGATTTCAAGGTAAACTTTAATGTCGAGTTAATTATTAGGATGAAGGTAAGGGCAGCAAAATGCACTCGAAAAAAATCGGATTTTATTATCACTGGAGAACAGAAGTTTTTCCATTATTGGTGATATAATGTGTAGAAAGTAATGGGTCTTGAGTATTTTCTTCACCGACCATATCCATAGCCACCATGACCGTGTCCACCACCGTGTCCTCCTCCGTGGCCGTGACCACCGTGTCCATATCCGCCTCCGTGTCCACCGTGGCCATATCCACCCCCGTGTCCACCGTGGCCATATCCACCCCCGTGTCCACCATGGCCACCATAGCCAGGGTCGGGCATGGGGCTGGCCATGGCAGCGGCCACAAGGAGGAAGACGGACAACACAGCGATCACCTGAGAAAGACAACAACATTTTCCAGTCAATAATTTAGGTGTAAGTTGAGCACAAGTACAAGTTTGTCGAGGTTCACAAAGTGTTTAGTGAATTTATTTGATGTAGTGAGTTTTTATGTGGCTTACCACCTTGTACATGTTGAGTGTTGGCAGGTCCGGCTGAGACTGACTCTGCCTATTTCTCCTGTCGCCTTTATACTGCCCCCTCTGATGACGTCATCACCACTATCAGTCACGCCAGTCACAGCTGAACGAGTCCATCAGTCACTCAGTCAACTTAACATAAATGTCATGACCTTACACTGTCGTGTTACATTTCCTCCATTCTTGTTGCCTCTGGTGACTGTTGAGATAACTGAAGAATAAAAGGAAACTTTTATATTTGTTTACCTTATAATAATGTTTCTCTTATATGTTGATGTTATGATGTATTACCGAGCCTCAACAATTTGGTCTTTTCGTCCATATGCTTATTTAGTGAATAAATTAATCAAGAGTAATAGATTAAGAGAGATACATTAGTCTTGTGTGTGTTTAGTCTTATCTGTAGTGAGGCAGTAATGATGGTCTTTCTGTGCACTTTAATACAGTTTATTGTACTTAACCTAATCCAACCAGACGTAACTTAACATAATTTAATATTCGAACCTAACTTAACCAAACCTCAAGTAATGTAACCAAACCTTAACCTATTCCAATGTGAAGTAACCAAATATAACCTAACCTAACCTTACGTAACGTAATCTAACTTAACCTAACCTTAGACAACTTAACCCCAGTCTGTAGTGATCACAATTTGGCGATTTATTACCAGCGTGTGTCACGAGGTGAGGTCTATCATGAAAAGGACAAATTTCTTATCATCTTTCGTAATGTTCTATGACAACAATGAATACATTTACAGTGTTGCTGACCTGTGGCTGGCATAGGGCAATAGCAACGTGATTTGTAAATGCTATGACGTCATCACCTGTTCACAGGTGAGCGTGGTGACGTCATCAGAGGGGGCAGTATAAAGGCGGCAGGAGACATAGGTAGAGTCAGTCTCAGCCGGACCTGCCAACACTCAACATGTACAAGGTGGTAAGCCACATAAAAACTCACTACATCAAATAAATTCACTAAACACTTTGTGAACCTCGACAAACTTGTACTTGTGCTTAACTTACACCTAAATTATTGACTGGGAAATGTTATCGTCTTTTTCAGGTGATCGTTGTGTTGTCCGTCTTCCTCCTTGTGGCCGCTGCCATGGCCAGCCCCATGCCCGACCCTGGCTATGGTGGCCATGGTGGACACGGGGGAGGACATGGGGGTGGATATGGGCACGGTGGACATGGAGGTGGATATGGGCACGGTGGACATGGAGGTGGATATGGACACGGAGGAGGACACGGAGGTGGACATGGCCATGGTGGCTATGGATATGGTCGCTAGTGAAGAAACATTAAACTTTAAGAGGCGTAATATTCTACAGTTCTCAAACAACTCACAATAACTTTTATTTTTCTTCAATAAAAATGTTTACTTCCTGTGTGTCTTTTGTTGTCTTCACCTGTGTTATGATAGCTGTTATGGATATTAAATTACGATATTGGTATTGCACCATCAGAGTTTTAGTTAGGTGGTGTGAGTAAAATATGTGAACTCGAGCAGCTTGATATGGTATACAGTCAACCAAAGATGCACCGATCCCACCCTGGGTCTCGTGCTCGCAATTTTACCTGACAATACTTGGTAAAGGAAGACTGTGTGTAAAGGTGATTGTGATTTGTGGATTTGTTTTCGGCTGTATCACTGTCAGGATAAATATTAAACAAACCAAAGGTAGAATTTTTATAATAATAAACTATTCATTGTTATTTAAGGTCCTGAGAAGTTTCCAAATGTTCTTATATTTGTTTAAATAATGAGGAAAATTTGATGTGAGGATCTTGTGGCAGCTGTGGTTGTAGTTGAGTTGCCAATTCATTAATAAAATTGTCTTCATTATTTAGGCAAATATACAAAAATTTGGAAACTTCTCATGAATTTAAATAACAATGACTCGTTTATTATTAAAGAAAATTACCATTGGTTTCTTTAATAATTATCCTGACAGTGATATAGCCGAAAACAGATCCACCAATCATAATCACCTTTACATACAGTCAGGTATGGAGTCAGGCAGGTCATTAGTGTAAAGTATGTACAGGGTATAGTGCTGGGGAGAGGACTGAGCCTTGCGGAACTCCATAGTTCAGTGGGAAGTAGGTTGAGTGTAGGAGTTTTAATGAAATTCTCATTTGCCTGTCTGTTAGAAAGTTGCATAGGAGCTGTAGTGATTTTATTGGGAGGTTGAAGTTTGTGCAAATTTTTTTTATGTTAGTCCGTCGTGCCAGACTGTGTCGAGAGATTTTTGTACGTCTTTGGTGATGAATGTTGTCTTGTATGCTCCTTTATTCATGTGGAGGCAATTTGTGATTAGGTTCAGTGCATCTTGTGTGAAGTGAAAGCAGTTCTCCATCTTCAAGGTGATACCTGAGGGGTTGGTTGTGTAGTCTGCCAAATGTTTTGCCCAATACCTCTAGGAGGCTGATGTGTCTGTAGTTTTGTGAGTCTGTGTGGTTTTTGTCTGGTTTCAGGATCATTATGGCTGTGTCTGTTTTAAAGAGTTTAGGGTTGTATCCTGTAGCAAGTTGAGTAGGAAGTTGATGGCTGTGAATATTTGTGGGGGAAAGCCTTTGAGGATTTGGTGTCCTATGTTGCTGCCACCTGGGGTTTTTTCTTCTTTGTTGTCTCTAGTACCTTGTTAACTTCCGTCGGGGTGAGTGATGTGGTAAGGATGTGTTCTTGTGTGAGTGTGGTGATGACTATTGTGTGTTATGATGCAATTCCGTCGTGTAATCTTCGTGTTTATGCGATTATGTGTTTGTGGTCTAATATGGGTCTGAGTTGGGGGGGTGGTGGAAGATGAGTTCTCAGTGTTGTTTTAATGTTTGTGCTACATCAGTCGGCTCTCTGATTCGCCGGCCTTTACTAGGATTGGTGTGTGTGTGTGTGTGTGTGTATGTGTATTTGTGTGTGTGTGTGTGTGTGTGTGTGTGTGTGTGTGTAACCGTACAGGAGTTGAGGTTCTGTATCCTTCTGCTTACGACTGTGTGTACCAGTAGGTCCCTCGTGTACACACAGTCGATATACACACAAAGAGGACATCCTCAGAGACTAGATGTCATCCAATAAACAAGACTTTCAAAGTAAACAGACAGTGTCCACATCCACACCACCCCTTGATGACAGTGTAAACAGCTGTAAACAAATACTGAAGTTCATTTATTTCCAAGTCTCAATATTAACATTTTAAACTGATACACACACACACACACACACACATTTTTCTTCGAGGTTCATTTTATTTTTAATTTTCTTTATAGAATGAGAGATAAAATTGTTCCTAGTTTATTGTACATATTGTTATTGTTAATGGTTACCTTAACCCCTTGAGTACGATGATTTAATCCCCTGAGTATGATGATTTTACCCCTTGAGTACGATGATTTAACCCCTTTAGTACGATGATTTAACCACTTGGAGTACGATGATTTAATCCCTTGAGTACGATGATTTAACCCCTTGAGTGCTATGACTTAACCCTTTGAGTGCAATAACCCTTTAAATAGGACGAAATATTCTTATGAACACTCAAAGGGCTAAACACATTTTAAAAACAACATACTGACAAGAACAACAGCAATAACAATGAAAAAAAAACAGATTTCTTTCATTTTCTTCTTCGTTATCTACTTATGGAATAGAATGATGAATGGCAAAACTAAAGTTAATAAGGAAGATGAAGAGAAAACGGAATTGAAATAATTTATTGGACAGATAATACAATAACTGGTGGAACTTAATTTGATATGCAAGGCGGAGGAATGTGTGTAGTAACGGGAGAGAGGAGGAAACAGAGAAGATCAATATAGGTAGAGAGGAAGAGGATGATAAAATGATTGATAAAGAGAGAAAGCGAGAAGAATAAGTAGATAGAAATAAAGGAAAGATGGAGTAAGAAAGAGTAAGAGAGAGAGATGAATAGCTAAAAGGAATATAAATAAAGAAAGAACGGAAATGGATGTATAAAGAAATAAAAAAATATACAACTATAGAGAAAGATAATTATAGGTAAATATAGATAATTAATGATAGAAAAAGAGAGAAAGATTGATAAACATTACATGGCTACGTAAAGTGTATAAGAAACATGTGTACATAAATGTTGTATAAGATCACCACAATAATACAAGTTAAGGTTAAAATCTCCACCAAATGATAAATACATAAAGGTTAAGTTTCTGGGTACATGAATTAAAATATTACAAAGATGAAGTTTTAGTCATAAATAAAGTGAATTAAGTTTGGATACACTACATAGGATACACGATTTCCTGAATCTGGTGCCACAGCATAAGTTTTCAACATGATCTGAGCCCCGTGTTACCGTGGCACTGACCTCTTGCCTCCGTGGCTGCAGTAGGTCATAATGGCGTGGCTCTTCCAGTAGACCATGATCGAACTTCAGGCACAGATCCTCGTACTTCTGTCCCAATGTAGTCGGTTCGAACATATCAAGGGCGTTTTGATACCTAGTGTTCCATCTCACTGCTATTATCATAACCCCGACGTTGAATTCCTTCTGTCTGCTTCACCTGCTGTAGTATGAGCCCGGCGAGGAGGAGTGGGCAGCAGTGTTCCAGGATGGGTCGGATGTACATGACGTATGCTCTGATCAGTTGTGGTGGAGCATTAACTTTTCTGAGGGTGTAAAGAATGTGAAGAAACTTGGCTGCTCTTGTGGTGATATTGTTAACGTAGTCTTGTCATGAAAGGTTGTTGATGATGGTGACTCCACTGCCGGGATGCTGGTATCGGTTATCGTTAGATCCCGGTAGATTAGGGGTTTCTTGTTGGTAAATATGTCGCTTTCTGAGGCCTAGGGTGCTGGTGGTGCTGACTCATAGATGGTAAGATCGTCGACGTACTTGAGGCGTCTGTGGGAGTCTCTTGCAGCAAGGCGATGGGCCCACATAGAGCACCCTGAGGTGCAACACTTATTGTTCTGCTCCACTCACTAAGCTTCCTAAAAGGGCCTTGGACTCTGCGACCAGCGGAGAAGTGTGGATTGCAGTCTTAATACGAAGAGACTCTGGATAACAACTGAGTGGTCTATAAGGTCGAAGCCTTTTGCAAAATCATACACAACCAAAGAAAATAACTTGCCAGGCTTATCAAGGTCGGTGAGCGTGTCTTGAAAGAGATAAACATGGTAGTAGGCGGTGGAGCATTTGTTTCCATGTTACCACGAGAAATAAATAAATAATCGTAGATAAGCGAAAAAACACACAAAGCCACAAATTATCATATAAACTCAACGATCTAAACACACAAATAAGCTAATAAGCACCAATGCTGTTCTAATTAAGTAATAGATTAATAAAAGTGAAAATAGATAAACAAAAGGACTAGTAGATTTTATTGGAATAAAATACAAAATAATTATATTCTTTTTTTTCATAAGACATCCGAGAGGGCAATTTTCTTACAGGGTTGATCTGAAATGGAAAAAAAATTGGGGGAAGGTAGTTATTATTATTATTATTATTATTATTATTATTATTCTTATTAAACTATAAAATACATACTAAGCATATATACATACATGGAGACGTATATACACTGTACATACCTTAGTGATATCCGCCACCGCCGCCACCACAACATCCACCACCACCACCATAGCCGCCACCACCACCGCCATAGCCGCCTCCTCCGCCACCGCCGTGTCCACCGCCTCCGTATCCACCACCGCCGTGTCCACCACCTCCGCCGTGTCCACCCCCTCCGTATCCACCACCGCCGTGTCCACCACCTCCGCCGTGTCCACCGCCTCCGTATCCACCACCACCGTGTCCACCGCCTCCGCCGTGTCCACCGCCCCCGTATCCACCACCACCGCCACCATACCCACCGCCTCCCCCACCTTTACAACATTTCCCACCAAATCCACCTCCTTTTTTACCGCCAAAGAAGAAACCAGGGTAAGGCCTAGGGCTAGCCAAAGCCGCGGCCACGAGCAGGGACACGAACACCACACCAATCACCTGGAAAAAGTAAACAATGAATTCCGTCACTCGTCAACATGGCGAGGTAAACAGACTACCTATAAAACTTCATTGCCTCTTGGAAATATTAATACTTTAGTTAGGTTACAGTATATGAGGTAATACATTGACTAAATGCAATATTATTTTTAACATTTCAATTTTAATATTATTGTATGATAGTATCGTTATTATCCATTTAGTGACGTTTTTAGACTGTGTACTGAATCAAACGTCGCTTGAATGAAAGTTAAACTCTCTCTCTCTCTCACTCTCTCTCTCTCTCTCTCTCTCTCTCTTTCTCTCTCTCTCTCTCTCTCTCTAACTGAAAGACTTTATTATACTTGCGAAATTATACTCAGACCAAAAGATTCTAAAACCAACACAGGAGCCAGGAGTGAAAGTTGATCAAACACAAGAAATTCTACAATCGTCAGAGAGTGCAATCCTGAGACACGTCTTTTGTTTAAGAAAAGCTACTTATTAAATCTGATTTGTTTATTTTTCTCACTTCAGCTCCTTTTATATTGTTTTAAAATTCACATATATATCACATTTTTTTCACTTTCGGGTTGTAAGATTTCTCCTTGTTTTTTTTTTATTTTTTTTCTATAGTTCTTAGGAAATCGATTATTTTATATTTGTTTTATTTTTTGCATCTTATGTTTTTTGGGGTAATATTTTAAAGAAATCGGGTATTACATTGTTTTATCGTTTGTGTTTGTAATGTCATTTTTTTTAAGTTCTAAGAAATTCAGATTATACAGATTTTCAATAAATCTGGAGTTCAAATTCTCGTAAAATTCCCAGAAATTCCTGAACTCTAAATATGTATTGTAATCTGTGAAGGCTTACCACACTGTTTCTTCTTATACAGTGTCAACAATAGACCTGTAGATGGAAACTCGTAATTTCTCTCACTCAAGCTGCCACTCGCTCCCAACATTATCTTCCAGTAGTTTGTAATCATTAGCTCATGATACTAACCAACACAATATTTTAATCGATTGCTTTAGTCCTCCGCTATTTTCTGTTTAATTTACTTCTTTTAAAAAACTCTCTAAAACATCTTTCTCCAATAAGGGTTGTTTACAAGGTCATTTAATACTTTATTGACCCCAAAATGATAAACATTTAGATACAGTAGTTCTTAAAATAATATATCTATGATCGTCAAACAATCGTAAAAAGTCGATCTAAAATTATAAAAAAAAAGTTTAAAAATAATAAATAGTTAAGCACTTTCCGTCAACCAAATTAGAGAAGACAATAAGAATTCCTGTAGCTCCTTTATCGTCACAGATGATAATGGAGTAGAGTGTAACGCCACAACAATGGAAAACACACGAGAACATAACAAACCTAACTTATTATATCTATTTAGTATTTCTAATATATACTTAAGACACTATATAAACTTTTCTACTTACAAGACACGTAGCACTGTATATGATATTTTCTATTTAATACTTTTATACACTTGATATAATTAAAACACTTACGAGTCTGTTCATCGTGGTGGTGATGTGAAGGCACTGACTTGCTATCCCTCCAACACCAGGTTTATATATATACCCTGCCCATACGACCCCTCCCCTCCCTTCATGACGTCACCACTGACGACAGTCTCCCAACAGACTGAAAACGACGAGTCAATATTGATTTAACCTGTCTGGATGAAATGGCAAATAAACTTATCTGAATTCTCTTGCTCGCCCGTACCAGGTGAGGTAGAATTCAAGAGTTTTCTCTCTCTCTCTCTCTCTCTCTCTCTCTCTCTCTCTCTCTCTCTCTCTCTCTCCTTTTGCGTAATATTACTTTCTGACCTCTTGAGCTGAGTTACGCCATACAGAAATTGTTACGCTGGATTCTCTCTTATTTACATTTTACTGTTTAATCCCTGAACCGAGTTATGATGTAAGTTAATGATAGTATGTATACAAGCAGACGGTTTGTGAGGGTACTGAATGTCCAGGCTACCGTAAATTTTCTCAATAGTGGACACAACTACTAGAAATATTTACAAAATATACAAATCATAAAACTCAACTAAGACTTTAAATTAAATAAAGCTATATGATAAATTTAACTCCGATATACGGGAATTTTTTTCGAGTTATTGAACAAAAATGAGTTTGTATAGTTAGATACACATATTTATAAGTGAAGGACGAGACTTATGTCAAAGATGTATGGAAAATGTTGATTAGCGAACATAGTCTACAAAATAATATCATAAAGTTATGTTCTAATTATAATATCCTTTCGCTTAATCTTTCTCAATTTATCAAACTGACATGATCATTTTTTATTATCAGAACAGACAGATAAATTATGATATCTCTCGGCCTGAAAACGACAGGGATAATTTAACCCCTTTATTCTTTAAGTTTTAGATCGACTTTAAATATTTCATTACCTAACACCAGACGATTTTATTCAGCTCAGAGGCGACACCGTGCACAAAAGGCTCAACTATCTGAAACAAATATAAGTAGATATAATTTTATATTTTTATTTGACAAAAAAAAAGAAGTTTACTTTCATTATTAGTTTAATGACAGGTGTGAATCGCCAGGTAAATGCAAAAGAGAATGAGATGTTACAGGTTATGATAATTATTCCTGTATCATCGTTTGTCATGGCAGGTATGAAAGATATATCACGTATTTCGAGTAAGATAACAAGACCGATTCATAATTATAACCCGAATTACTCACCACGATAGCTTGACCCCTTGAGTGCAATACCATCGTACTCAAGATGATTATTAACTGTTTTTAATCCTTTTTGTTATTTTATTTAGCTAAAAAAAGACGATTTTATTCAGCTCAGAAGCATCACCGTGCACAAGGGATTAAAATGTGTAACAGATCGTATTCAAGGTACTGAGTCATTGTTCTCTAAGGGTTAAGTCATCTTACTAAATGGGCGGATTATCTGTACTCAATGGGCGAATTATCTGTACTCAATGGGTCGGCATCGTACTCAAGGACTTAGTAGTTCAACTCAAGTAGAGTCCATTAGCATATGCTCAAAAGGGTTCACCAGTATGACAAAAAATAAAATCACCAAGATGGTCACTATCTCACCAGCACTACCGTAACGCCTCACTAGCATACGTTAACTATTTGCAAAAGTTAGAGAAGCTCACGAGAATAACTCAGATTAGGAGAAATGCTAATCCTTCCATCACAATCACCAATCCTGCTAACTCACACTTACTTCCCTTCACCACTCCTCTCTGAGCTCCGGTTTGTTGACACAGTCTTTGAGAATCTTTCCTCCCGGTGTCTCAGTTCCCATTCTCTCGTCTTAGGTAATACTGTGATCACCAAATATTCCTTTGTTTATCTTTTACGCATATTCTGTGTGTGTGTGTGTGTGTGTGTGTGTGTGTGTGTGTGTGTGTGTGTGTGTGTGTGTGTGTGTGTGTGTGTGTGTGTGTGTGTGTGTGTGTGTGTGTGTGTGTGTCTGTGTGTGTGTGTGTGTGTGTGTCTGTGTGTGTGTGTGTGTGTGTGTCTGTGTGTGTGTGTGTGTGTGTCTGTGTGTGTGTGTGTGTGTGTGTGTGTGTGTGTGTGTCTGTGTGTGTGTGTGTGTGTGTGTGTGTGTGTGTGTGTTCAATTCTTTCTTTCATTTTCTTATTTTCATTTATTTCTGTTAATCTCACGTCATTCCTATCTATTTTCTCGTGTTCCAAATTTTCATTGAACCTTCTACCACGAGGTCAAGATTCTCAAGGTTTTTACAAGAGGTCATTTATAATATTTTCTGAGTTTTTCCACTTTATTTAAATTCCCTGTTGTTTATATTTTACCGTAACGTCAATTTATTAATTATGTTACATATTTTGGTGAATATATATTAAGAAATAGAAGAGTTGTGACCTATATCTTCACCTCTCAGTGTTCTCTCTTATATAAGTGTAATTTGTTTAAAGGCGAGCATTTGGGATTCCTCATTAAACAGTATTATTTATTTTCCCCTTCCTTACATAACGTTCAGGTCAGCAAGCAATGGTGTTTGTTGCATGATATAGTACGTGCTAGAGATAGAGATAGCTTCCCTTGTGATCAACTCGTGTTCATTTTCCGACCCACTGAATTACGATCTAAGAAGGTGGGGCCATAAGTGAATCATTAGGTTAAGTCACACTGGAAAAAGAAAATCATCCCTCAAACGCGATAAGTGTCTATCATTGAGGTCAGGAGAGGCGGTCAATGTGATGGCTAAATGCTCTTCCTTTCTTTCCTCCTCTTATCCTACCCCTCCCTTTGCTTCTCCTCATGCTCCTTCTTCTCTTCCTCCTCCTCCTCCTCCTGCTCCTTCTCCTCCTCCTCCTACTCCTCCCCTCCTCATCGTCCTGCTGATGTTGAAGGAGCAGGTGGTGGAGGAGGTGGCTGTTGTGTTTGGCAACGTTCACTACATCATTACTCACTCATTTGCCGAACACTTTCTTCACCAACACTCAGTGAAAGTCATAGAGAAGCCCATTAAAAAAATCACCATATCCGATAACACTTATGGCTCTTTAACACGTGATGTCTACTGTATTCATTAACTCACTGTCTGTTCTTTAATACTGAATTGTTGAAACGTTGTATTACTTTAACGTTGGTAATGCACAGATGTAGCTGATGGTTCTCTGTGTATTTATATCCTGAAACCACAGTAGTTTTCATAGTGATTTCATTTTTGGGGTCAACCTACAATTCCCAGCAGACTTATGTAAAGAGCAAGCACTGTAGTGTACCGCTCAAAGCTCACTAGCAGTCACAAAAAAAGGAAATTGTGGAAGCAGCTAGGAATAAATTTGAACAAAATTTCACAAAAAATGCACAGGACATTCTATTAAGTTGAATATTATGTGAGTCGTAGAATAATCATTTCCTTTGTGTTGTTAAATGAGAAACATAATTTTATATCATAACTTTTCTGGATAAAGTATATTGTTTAGTTCTATATTTCTTGATAATCGATTTCAAGCTTTATTTTTGTAATTTTAATTGCACTGTGTTTGACTCCGGCAGATTACTGATTCCTTGTTTGCAATGTGGCCGATTACTTTCTTAGCAGTTCCTGACAGAGACTGTATTTTTTCACCCACTCGTTCACCTTTTCAGTTACGTATTTGATCTTAAATCAATCGTTTTGATAACCGGGCCAAGAGACTTTGGCCTTCCTTTGTTATTTTCACCTCATTTCCATTGAATATCTCTGTAGTCCAATGCGTAATAGTCTGGCTTCACAGTGAGAATGGATTTGCTGGCGTTTGGACGTGCCGCATGTAGTCACCGGGTCCCACCACTTTTCCTGTTTCTGTGCCATCATCGGCGTTCACTACCTGTTTGACCTTGGTTGTCTCGTAATTTAATCTATGTTGGAGCACGGTTATGACCTGACTGTATGGCAGTATCTTTAACTAGGGCCTTGAAGCTCGTTATATAGAGGTCTATCGAGTTCCTGTAGGTATTTTCCACATATTTTGTAAAGCTTGAACACTTATTCTTGATGATGTACAGTATAGCCTTGCGGTTGAGGACTTTGAAAGCATCAGAGGCGTCTACCAGGAGCACAGCATCACAGTCACGTTCCTCGTTATATCTTTCACATGGCATGAATGGCAGCTTCACCCCTAGCCTGGTGGCCTACATCCTGCCACCACTGTTCCTATAACTAAATTTAATAATTACAACATCAACAACAACACAGGTATACCTCACAGTACCTCCTCGGCCATGCCCTAGTTTAACAGCTCGTCACTGTGAAAGGAAGTTTACCAAACAAACAAACGTAAAGATTGCTACATCTCCTGACCTGTACACCACACACGAGGAAGATGGGGTTAAAAAAAATATGCGATTAAGATGAATGACAATGACAAATACTTTAATTTGAGTATTTATATTGTTGGTCATGGAGATTAAGTGTTGATTAGAGAATTATTTTAGAATAGTATTTGGGATGATTAGCGATTCATCTGTGGTATGGTTCTTGTCGTTAGTGACGGTGGTAGTAAGTTAAAGAGACAATTAGCGATTTTTTTCAGTATATTGTAACTTAATGGTGGTCCCGGGTTCGAACCAGGGCCACCATGGTTAGTACTCATGTACCCAGATTTACTTGTGTATATTACAGGTTCTGATATGCTAATGATGCCTTAGAGAGTACGTGTTGAGTAGCGAATCATGTGAATTACAGACTCTTTATATGAAATAATTAATGGATTGTGTGTGTGTGTGTGTGTGTGTGTGTGTGTGTGTGTTTATTCAGATGGTCTGAGTATATGCACAAGGATGTCTGTCTCTTAACTCTTTCCCCACACTAGCCACCAATTTAAACACTTAAAATTATCACAAAAAATATCACTAATCAAATATCTTAAGGTGAATACAGGCTCTTAAGTGTCAGCGCAGTATTGTGACTTATGACCACAGAAAACGTGACTGCAAGCGGGCTCAATCTTATGAAGGATAACTCTTGAAAAATGTGCTTGTGAAGAGAGAGGTGGGTGCATGTAATAATAATAATAATAATAATTAACGGTTTATTGAAAGAGCTTGTGTGTGTGTGTGTGTGTGTGTGTGTGTGTGTGTGTGTGTGTAATAATAATGAACGGTTTAATGACGATGGTCATACATTAGACAAAAATGACTTTTTACATGCAAAGACATGGGGTTGGGTGGGTCGTTTAACAAAAGCTTCCATTAATATAAGGAGAAGGAACATAAATTCAACACTCAATTTATAGTTTGCAGTTGATGGAAGGGGCTGGTCTCTTGCCCTTCTGTGTGAGATCACGTAGGCCACGTGCTGCAGTAACTCGCCCACAGGTGTTGACGTGAGGGACCTCACGTGGTGCTGCAGTAACTCGCCACAGGTGTTGACGTGTGGGACCTCACGTGATGCAGTAGCTCGTTCACAGGTGTTGACGTGTGGGACCTCACGTGATGCAGTAGCTCGTTCACAGGTGTTGACGTGTGGGACCTCACGTGATGCAGTAGCTCGTCCACAGGTGTTGACGTGTGGGACCTCACGTGATGCAGTAGCTCGTTCACAGGTGTTGACGTGTGGGACTTCACATAACGTTGTAGCAACTGTATTATTACTTCGCTGTGTCATGGGCCGCATGATGTGGTGTAACAGTACCTGACTCTCTACTAAATTTTGTTGTGGTACCTCACAGTCAGGTGTAAAGCCGACCTGCGGTTGTTCCGTGAGTAGACTGTTTAATACTATACTGCCTGGTCAGAAGATGGTGGTTGGCTCCCAGGGGCGGTTACCGCTGGGTAGTCTTAGACCTCACTGGTGGGTGTGAAGGATAATGACACTGATTCTTCTCCTTTCCGAAAGTAAATTTTCAGTTGGGGGGGAGGGGTTGGGGGGGAGCTGAGGTGCAGGACCAGGCAGCCAAAAGAGCGGAGCGCTGAGTATATCTTGACCCTCTGGTGGTCAGGACGCAATATGTGTGTGAAGGGGCAGGGAGGGAGGGAGGGAGGGAGTGAGGGGGGGGAGGTATTTTTATCACCATGACTCACATGTGTTTATAACAATAATAATAAGAATTAATTTCAACTTCATTTTTCTCTTCCTTCTCCTTTGCTTTCTCTCTTCATCCTTCTCTTCCTTCTCTATCACTAAACATAACCTAATCCTTTACTACTGTTGATCTTTTAATATCCGAGTTTCTATAATTTCAAAACTTTTACAACTTTCTTACAAATTAAAGTAACAAAAACTCTCACTAACTCACTTAATGAATCGATTCCTAAGCCACAGAAATATTTTAGTGACGCTGTTCGTGAAGGTCAAAGATCAAGAGTCAATAATAGAAAGAAATAGAGGAGTGAGTAAGTTAAATGTGGGTTGTGGTCACCGTAGAGTTTTATACATACAGCCTATGCAACTGTAGCCTCTCTCTGGTGCTATTCCTTATATGACTGGGTATTATTGATTGAGTTATTCCATGTAACATCTGGCTTTCCTATATACAGTAAGTGTTCATTTCTCTATCATTTTCGTCACTTTGTTATAATCCCTCCACCTAATTTTTTTTTTATTAATTTTCCTATAGTGTTTTATCAATGAGGCATTCTGTATATATCTTCCTTCAACACCTTCGCATATTGATGATTCGTTAGCCTTGTTCACTACCAAATGTTGCTGTACTTAATGGGTCTTGTCCTAACAGAAACTACAGCAATGTCAACTCTCTATCATGATGATTGTTTCGCTGCTTCATTCTTTGATTTACCCTCAGTCTTACCTTACGTATAAACCCATCACTTAATATATATATAAATACCCCTTTTTGCACTTTACACCCACGAAAATTCATGATATATAGACAATATTTTGCATTATACCACCGCTTCATAATCCTTAACACCATCTCATTATAAATCTACATTTCATCAGATTACTTCGGCAGACTTGCAGACATTACACCGACAGATCACCACAATACACAGTCAACCGTCGGTATGAATATGGGTGTCTTACGGTATTCGAACCCATAAAGCTCTCAACCAGTCTTCTAGCAGCATGGCATTCCGTTTTCGACAATATTACCGTGTATATATTGTAATATTATCAGTGTTATTACTATTTGTTCTATTGACTCACATATTATTATAAAATGTCTGTACAGATACATTTTGTCTCACTGTTATGAAGTGTGTCTCGAGTATTGTTTCAATGATACTCCTGTTTATGAAGCCGATTCGAATAATGCTTAATTGTTTCGAATTTGGAACTTTTCAGAATAAACTGAGAAGAAGTAAGAGTGAAGTGCCAAAAGGGGGTACATAGCTAAAACAAAACCTGTCTCTCTTTATGTTAATGTTAAGGGCAGAAGATGTTTGTTTTCCCGTACTTAGGAGTTACTGAAGCTCTCAACACCTGATGAGTTACAGTAGGATGTAATATAACAAATACAGAGGCTACCTATTGTACCTTAGTAGTGTATCCCAGTCACTCATGATATGTGAACCTGTTTTAATGATTATTATAGGGCAAATTACTCTTTTTTTTATTTAAATTATATAAACGAGATGAGGCCAAGTGGTTACAGCGTTTACTTCCTGCACTGAGAGTCTTTGGTTAAGCCTGGATCACTATAGTAAATCCAGAAGTCAATAGGTCATTATCTTTACAGTTAAGGACCAGAAGGTGATAGAGTGCAGTGCAGACCTCATTGTTTCGTATACTACCTAAGGTTTAGTATCTAGTGTGCTGTATCCCCAGTGGAGGTTCATTGTAAACAGAATTAGTCTTAGTTACTAGAGTTTATTGCATATAATTACTAAACTGGTGGTGAGAAAAAGGTTCATATGAACATTTACAAAACTGGCCAACGTCAGAACGTCTTAATGTTATTCCCAGGATGGTTGAGATGATCACTTTCGGTCGTCCTGTACAGTAAAAGAGAAGTCATGGTTTATTAGAATCTGATAATTTGTTTAGTTTTCTCCTTAAAAATTAATTATTATTCTTACATATTAAAAATTGCAGTATCGTCTTAATTCTAATCAAATATAATCTTATATATAATTCAACTTATCATCTATCAGTACAACACCGTTATATTACCAATTAATTATTTCAGTGATTATATTTACGTAAAAAAAAAACTAAAAAAACACAGAATTATTTTAATAAACTAAACGATAATAAATAAACCAATAATATGAACGATGTGTTGAAGATTTATCATAGGTGAAATATAATGAATAAAAGTGAGAATTTACCGGATGTATTGAAAATTCTCAACTTGGTCGTGATTCTCTTGATAATTATGCACTGTAGAATTTTATATTATATGCCGTATTTTTTCTGATATTTGCTGATATTGTCTGAGTTGTTTAAATATATTAATATATTTTTTATTGTCTTTTTATTTGAAGAGATTTAATGTGGAGGAAATATTACGGTTATTGAATCAGCTACTTACCTCAGCGTCCATATCCATAACCGCCGTAGCCACCATATCCACGACCACCATAACCGTATCCACCACCATAGCCATATCCACCTCCATATCCGCCCCCATAGCCACCATATCCTCCACCATAGCCACCATAGCCAGGGTCGGGCATGGGGCTGGCCATGGCAGCGGCCACAAGGAGGAAGACGGACAACACAACGATCACCTGAAACACAACATGATGCTACACCTGTGTTGCTTCATTAACAGTCTACATAATACAGCTCTGTGTGTGTGTGTGTGTGTGTGTGTGTGTGTGTGTGTGTGTGTGTGTGTGTCTCTGTGTGGGTGTGTGTGTGTGTGTTTGTGTGTGTGTGTGTATGTTTGTCTGTGTGTGTGTGTGTGTGTGTGTGTGTGTGTGTGTGTGTGTGTTGAAAATTACGAGCAATAGTCAGTACCTGCTTGTGGTTGCATTTGTAATTGGATAAAGGTCAAATTCCTGTACCTTGTATGATATAAAAATGAGGAATATCTTTTTGTTTTGTTATTCCTGAAGTAAAGATGATAATTAATTATGGATATAAGCTTACCAACAAAATAACTAATTCTTTATGTATAACAATAAAATAATATCTTACTCAATATTATCAATTATACACAAAGAATATAAGAGTATTGCTCCATAACCTCGATTTTATATTAATTAAAAAAATACCATACATTACTAGCAAGAGTATTATTACACATAAAAACGTAATTATATTTACAATTTAATCTACATATAAATATTCACATGATCACAAAATATCCCGTGGAACATAAAAGTTAAGGTATACTCACAGCTTTCATCATGGTGTACAGAATGAGCGTCAAACTAACTCTGAGGTCCTCACTGCAGTCCACCTCCTTATATACTCCCTCGTGAACAATGAACTTCAAAAAATCCATAAAAGAATGTATTCGAAATATTGGAACCCCCAGACACACCCAGACACACCCAGACACACCCTCGCATATTTTCCTCGGCCAGGTTAACATTTTAGAGGCCAACCGGAAGAACAATAAGGTGATAAAAAATGAAAGCAGAACAAGGAGGAAAAAAAAGATTTTAATAATAATTTACGACTTATTTAGCTTGACATGTTTTCCTGGGTAGAGAGTCATCAAGGTTTTGGAAGGACGTAAGGAAAACGGTAAGAGCGTAACGGGGTGACTATGTTAAAATATTTGTCCTTGTTCTGAACTTTTTATATTGTGTTGTGTGATTATAAAAATGGCCTTTATGTGCGTAGAGTTTATAATATTGTGTCGTCATCAATTAACGAATGGTTGGGGGTTGAAATAGACATAAATCATTTCCATAGCATCGATTGTGTTAACCTAACCTAACCTAACCAAACCCAACCTAAAAAAATATAGTATGTGTGTGTATTAATATATGTGGGATCACCTGGATACAGCTCAACTTACTTCACCTGGGGATTAAACACCCTAGCGCTGCCTCAAGGAGTTATGATAAAGGGGAGGGGAAAGGGAGAGAAGGGTGGGAAGGGAGAGAGGGAGGGACGAAGGTATAAATAATTCCCTTTCCATTTCTCAGTCCTTACCTATTAAGCAGTTCAAGGTGAGTTACATTAATTAGGAAATAAATTAAATAGCTTCAGTAGGAAATGGGTCAAACGGGTTTAATTAGAATTAAGCTAAATGTGTTAAATGGGTTAATTAGGTTAAATTACTTTGATATATTAAATAGAAAATGGGAGAATAGGTTAAAATTATAGGTTTTGGTCCTTAATAATTGGTTCATACTGACATCAATTCCAATTATAGAAGGTGTTGGTCCTAAATAAATGGCTCATACTGACATCAATTCCAATTATAGAAAGTGTTGGTCCTTAATAATTGCCTCATACTGACATCAATTCCAATTATAGAAGGTGTTGGTCCTAAATGGCTCATACTGACATCAATTCCAATTATAGAAGGTGTTGGTCCTAAATGGCTCATACTGACATCAATTCCAATTATAGAAGGTGTTGGTCCTTAATAATTGCCTCATACTGACATCAATTCCAATTATAGAAGGTGTTGGTCCTAAGTGGCTCATACTGACACCAATTCCAATTATAGAAGGTGTTGGTCCTAAATGGCTCATACTGACACCAATTCCAATTATAGAAGGTGTTGGTCTCTGGCAAATGATTCATATCTTTCTAAAGTCGACCAGTCACTCTGTAAACAAACTCTTACATGGGGAAGTGTTTCAGTATTGTCGTTTTTCTTCTTTGATTTACTTAACTATTCTCTTGGTTCTTTTGTTTTTGTTTTGTTTTTTCTTGATTGTTGTCTTTGTTTATTTTGTTATCTTTGTTAATTTTGGTTAGTTATTGTTTTTGTGATATGTTTTGTTATCTTTTGTTTGTTTTGGTTAGTTATTGTTTTTGTTATCTATCTTGTTATCCTTTAATTGTTTTTTTATTGATTATTTGTCTTTGTTATCTTATTCTTCTGTTTGTTATTTGTATTATTTATTTAAAGTCTTTATTTTATTTTAATTTTTGTACTTTTTATATATTTTTTCTTGTTATTTTTGCTATTCGTTTTTACATTTATTTTTAAATTGCGATTTTTTATACATATTATTGTATTGTATCGAATATTTTAATTGATCATGATTTCATTTAATATCAAACTGTTTCTTTGTCCACATATAAGTATATCAACAATTATTATTTTCACAGATTTCCAAGTTGATATCTGAAATTCTTGAAAGCCATTGTTCTCTAACTATCTATAATTTCCTTAGTGTGTATCTAATAAGAAAGAAACTTTGCGAATTAATTTTAAAATAATTGGAAATATTAAGCAAGTGTGATTATTTCTATACAGGATGGTGTGTGTAATTTGTTTTACCCATAATAATGTCTCTGTTGCTTTGTTCTAGGTAAAGTGATTTGTGCACCACCCTGTATACTGAGGAAACCCTATCTCGTTCACACTCATACCAGGGGCCCCAACCTAACCTTGTTCACAGTCACCGAGCGCCAACCTCACTTTGTCACACTACAAGCGCTTGACTCGCTTCGGCCACACCCTCGTCTCCCGTACGCACTGATACTCACTGTCCTTGTGAGAAAAAATAATAGACGTCTTAGAATGGGTTTTATAACGCTTCGAAAGGCGTGGTGTTGAATAATGACAAGGTTCTATGTTGTACAAGTCGCGTGGGAGTTCTGTGATGCATTGTTGCTCGTGGGATAATCATTCTGTACCTGCGTGTGCAAATAAACCAAACTATTGGAATTTTTCGTAGTTTAAGAATGTTTATGTGTGTATTGGGATAAAGAATTGGACAGATTAGAATACAGAATAATATTATATGTTTTTAAATAATGAAACACTATAAATAATCTAACCTTATTCAGATTTTAAGGACATATTTCAGTAATATTTTGGATATCATTATTATTACAACTGTTTTATAATATTTCCATATTTAATCTCATTGTTTTTAATATATTGCATAACTGTATTTTGTGTAATATTTACGGTAACGCAACATTTGGCATATTTTCTGATTTTGTATTTTTTTTTGTAAACGTCATTTAGTCTGAAATAATCACCTAAAGATTAGTCATCTCAGTTTATTTCACATTAAGGTTAAATGCCCTTACGATATCCGGGGAGTATGTTAGGTTAGGTTAGCATTGGGTAGTTAATTTTAAGGTAGAATAAACTTGGGTGGTCCATCTAAAAAATAAATACCTAAATATCTCTCTGTTGGTACCACTAGTCTATGATATGTATAAAGTAAAATCATTCATTCATTCATTTTTTTCTTTTCTTTTTTTCGTTTTCTTCTCGTTGAGGTCAGTACAACCTTTGTCTACCCCGTCAGTCTGCGATCATGAGCTCCAATTCTTCGCCCATTGTTCATATATTTTCCGGCTGTGAATGCTCTCTGTGGTGTGTTATTGTTTTCCAGAGACCCGCACAGGTGAAGGTCGGGCAGGCAGGTATATCTGTGGTCTGTTGACACTATGACAAGTTTCCCTCAGTTGCCACAAACCTCTGTTTTGTTTTGTTTTTATTCCACGGCGGGGTATTTAAGGTGACTCCTGTCGGTGGATAGACAGTCAGACTCAAAACTTCGTCAAGATGTATAAGGCTGTGAGTATCTAGTATCTTGCATCAGATAATTTTTGTTCATCTCACCTGAGATTGTTGATTGTTCTTTTAACTATTTTATTCTCAAAACTTATTCCTCATCAATATATATTTTAGACTGTGATAAAGATAATTCAGATAATATTATAAGATTCCATGTAAGAATTTAGATTATTTACTGTAGTTACCGAACAGCATAACAAATATAAAAAAATAATGATTTCTTTCTTTCTAGAGTCTAATTTTAGAGAAAAACCATAATGTTGTGTAGACTGTTAATGAAGCAACACAGGTGTAGCATCATGTTGTGTTTCAGGTGATCGTTGTGTTGTCCGTCTTCCTCCTTGTGGCCGCTGCCATGGCCAGCCCCATGCCCGACCCTGGCTATGGTGGCTATGGAGGATACGGAGGCTATGGTGGAGGATATGGTGGATATGGCTATGGTGGTGGATACGGTTACGGTGGTGGATATGGTGGCTATGGAGGTGGATACGGATATGGTGGTCGTGGATATGGTGGCTACGGCGGTGGCTATGGGTATGGACGTTAAAGGTAAGATTGCTGTAATATTTTGTCTTAGTTAGAGAAAACTGTACATACAGGCATTTCTTATTTCACCCTTATTCATTCTTTAATATTACAAGGTAAATTTTTCCATGAGTAGTTTCCTTAAAATCATTTATTATGATCAATATGCTCCATCATAATTAACAAAATATATGACAAAATTTATAACCTAAAAATAATCAATACTTATGATTTAATTCGCAATACATAATACTAAAATTATCATTGTTAGGTTAATGATAAAACATTAATAAAAATCAACATGAATTTAATTTTAAAAACTTATGAATGATATGCTAATTTTTTTTTATAATTTGTGTTTTTCAGAGCAGCCAGGAGGCAGTCCAGCACAACTTCCCGAGTTTATTATTTTAAAGTGTTTTGTCCAATGCTGTTTTCCATCGTTTAGTTCCTCATTTACCCTCCATATAAACCTTGAATATTTTTGTATGTAATGAAAAGAAATAAAACAAATTATAATGTTTATATTTTGTATTTTTATGGACCAGAGTAATGTGTTCCAATAATATGTTCCAAGGTTTGAATAGCGGTGACTTTCTGACTCGACAGTGTCTATGGCGTCTCGTCTGTAGACTCTCTTTACATTAAGATAATTCTCGTAAATGACAACAGTAAGATTATTGTACTTCTTAATGTTGACGATTTTGTATGAGACAATATGACACAACGGAGGAAGGATTTTGACAACCCTACCGAGACAACAGGAGTCACAGTGTTCATTCTGAAATTCATCGAACCCTTCAGTAAAGATATTTTTAAGAGTGCCGAGTGATTATTAAAAATATATATTAAAATGTTGATAATTTTAATTAATAAAGATTAAATTGTGAGTCATCTATGTTTATCAGTGTGATGTGTGAACGTTACTTGTCAGCACAAATGATTTTCGAATAACAGTCAGTGATAAAATACAGACTGACTGGCTTTTTTCTATAATCGTCTGAGAACAACACACTCTCTTCATTATAGCAGCATCAGAAAATCCCGATTCATACAGTAATAACGTCACAAACAGTAAAAGAGTGTTGATGGCTTTATTGGACAACATAGGATACTACTTTTTAACATGCAGCCAAAAATTATATCAACACAAAGAGAGTGTTAACAATAAATTAATTTCCTTTCCGTTCAAATTTTGAGACATCAATATCCTTCTAATTAAATAAAAACTGCATATATAATTTTTCCAACGAATTGTTCATTATTGACTTCCATTCTATTGCTACCAGGAAATATATCTGATTTGAGGAAAACTAAAAAAATAAAAAAATCCTAAAATACTTTCCATATTTGTAGTTTTCACATCAGCTCTGTCGTTGTGAGTCAGTAAATAGGTTTTACGGACACTGTATTAACCTATTCAAATATTTCCCATTTTCAGCAACGTTAAACAAACTATTTTGAGTTCCTCCCCCCCAGCTAACGGCATAAACTCCCCGGTACACAGTTTGGAAATCATTGAATTGAATAATAAGATAATCGTAAAAATATATATCCGCGCCATATATCCACATTCAACTCTAAATATTTCTTATAAAAATATGATAATAACGTTATGAAGCGATATACGTCAAGTAAAATAAAACCTATATGATCTACCTATTAAACGAGGCAGATAAATTATAGACACTCTAAATTATTACCATTTTATTATTAAAGAATATAATATAACACTAGTCGACTGATGGACAAATATAGGGCAGACTCAGCAGCATGGCGTGTGAATGATGTAATAGGAATGTAATATACTCCACGTGAGGCAGTCAGTGACCCTCGTCTTGTATAGTGATAAGAGAACAGCGCCAGGTACCAATGGAGGTTCAGTATAAGGTGTCAGGTACCAATGGAGGTTCAGTATAAGGTGTCAGGTACCAATGGGGTTCAGTATAAGGTGTCAGGTACCAATGGAGGTTCAGTATAAGGTGTCAGGTACCAATGGAGGTTCAGTATAAAGTGTCAGGTACCAATGGAGGTTCAGTATAAGGTGTCAGGTCCCTCCAACTCCGGAATATTATCTTACCTTCATCAATTAACACTTATCATACAGGTAAACAATATATCTATACCAAGCAGAAAAATACACGTACTGTACTTGTCAAGATTTAGGTCAATTGTCTGTCAGCGGAAATTATTGATAGTTGTAAAGATAATAAGGAAACATGTAAATAAAAATTAACTTCTTTTTTTAGTTATGTTGTTGTTGGACAAATACCAGGTGATCATTGCTTAGTGTTCAGGAGTTTTTAACTTTAAAATATATTCATTTTTGTTATATATTTTTGCTATTCAATTTTTTTTACTCGCGTCGGTATTCCCGTTGTCTCAAGGTTAAGGTAAGAGAGGGAAATTTTTGTCTTGTTTAATCCAGGACTTTTGTTCCTCGGTGTTGCCAAATGTCGCCATTGTTGGGGCAGGTACACAGTATAAAGGCTGGTCCAGACTCTGGCCAGTCAGTCGTCCCCGAGGCTTCATCACCATGTTTAAGGCTGTGAGTTGCTACAGGTTATATAACTATCCAGGATTTACTCATATAATTTGTATTAGATTATGAATATTTATGTTAGAGTAAATGTAAATAAAAATACTAAAGTCCTTTAAGATAAAAGTTGCTTATATGAATGTCACTTGAGCCTTCAATATATTTCAGGACATAATAAGGAGGTTTCGTCACATCTTCTGGCAACTTGTACACGATAGTTACCATAATGTTGTGTAGACTGTTAATGAAGCAACACAGGTGTAGCATCATGTTGTGTTTCAGGTGATCGTTGTGTTGTCCGTCTTCCTCCTTGTGGCCGCTGCCATGGCCAGCCCCATGCCCGACCCTGGCTATGGTGGGTATGGTGGATATGGTGGAGGATATGGTGGATATGGTGGAGGATATGGTGGCGGATACGGCTATGGTGGTGGATATGGTGGCTACGGCGTTGGAACGGGTGGCTACGGCGGTGGATATGGATATGGACGTTAAAGGTGAGGATAATTTTATTAATGAAATATTTTGCCATAGAGAAGAAAGTGTGGACGTTAAAAAAAAAAAGAAAACTAAAGTATTAAGTAAAAGTTTATCAAGAATGTTGGTTATTTAATCCCATTTTTAGTTCCTAGTTCCAATTCTTAGTTCCCAATCGAATTCCTAGTCCTCAGCTCTAATTCCTAGGTCCTAGTCCCAATTCCTAGTCCCCAGTTCCACTTCCTACGAGAATACAGTCTTTAATGGATAATATCTAAAATTAGTTCACTCTCTCTCTATTTCAGCAAGGTGGCGGAGACCCAGCACTGTGGCAGGTCAATAATGTCTCTTTTGATATATTGTGATTTTGTGTCTTAACTTTTGTTTGTTTGTTTTTTCTTCTAATAAATTAACCAAGGATATTAAAAAAGTTTGTCTTATTCCTGTGAGTTAAGGGTAATTAAGATGTCTGAGTAATTGGGCATTTTAGATAAGATATTTAAACACACACACACACACACACACACACACACACACACACACACACATACCTTTAATTTTGTCTTTACATCCAAATATGTCTTAAACTTAGTATCTCAGAGTGTAATAAAGGAGGTTACTGACAATTTATATTCTCCGTAGATTTAATTTCTATGGAGCGTCTAAGTAACAATTAATTCTCCAAAGAAACAAATAAAAAACAAAACCAATGCATTAAAGTTTCAATATACACCCCTCTCCCCTCTCCTCCCTTTCCCCCTCTCTACTCCCTCTCTACTCCCTCTCCCGCCTCTCTACTCCCTCTCCCGCCTCTCTACTCCCTATCCTTGGGGCATTGAAACGGAATGGGGGTGGGAGGGAGGGAGAAGAGGGGGGGTACAGTCATGATTCTCTACCATACCATACCATACCATACCATACCATACCATACCATACCATACCATACTACAGATCCACAATGGAACTCTGAGCTCAGTGGTAAACAGTAGAACGATCCACAGAGATAATGTATCACCAAGTCGGGTTAGCAGGTAGTCTGTATTCATGGTATCCCAAATCATACATGGTGACCCCCCAAAGCATACATGGTGACCCCCAAAGCATACATGAAAACATACATGGTGACCCCAAAGCATACATGGTGACCCCCCAAAGCATGGTGACCCCCCAAAGCATACATGGTGACCCCCAAAGCATACATGGTAGCATGGTGACCCCCAAAGCATACATGGTGACCCCCCAAAGCATACATGGTGACCCCCAAAGCATACATGGTGACCGCTAAGGCATACATGGTGACCCTAAAAGCATACATGGTGACCCCTAAAGCATATCGTTAATCTTGACACACCGGCAGTATATTCATATGAACAAAATATATCCTTACTATTGAAAATAATTACGCTTTAACTACGAATTATACCTGCCTGTAAAATAATAATTTGTGACTGTAATAACCAAACTGTGTTGTAAATTAATAATCTATTTTTTTTTACTAAACTAATTTCACATCTCGACAGTCCAGCAAAAAATTATAATAATGTGACGGTAATGAGGAACCAGAATTAAAGCTCCTATTTTATATTATGGTTTTAAGTTATATTTTAAGTTAGTTTATGGTAATAATTATAAAGTAAAGACTAGGGATATTTTCTTCATAAATAAAGTTTATTGACATTATAGTTACAACAAGTTCCTGGAGAGAGTTCCTTCTTGGTGGCCGACTGTGTGTTTGTGGCTCTCATAGTTCACCTTTACCGCCCGTATCCATAGCTGCTAATGTAACCACCATATCCACCGCTTCCGTAGCCACCATAGGTACGACTTCCATAGCCGCCATATCCACCACTTCCGTATCCACCATAGGTACGACTTCCATAGCCGCCATATCCACCACTTCCATAGCCGCCATATCCACCACTGCTGTAGCCTCCATATCTACGGCCACCATAGCTGTATCCACCCCCATAGCCATATCCACCACCACGACCACCGTAGCCAACATGACCACCATAGCCAGGGTCGGGCATGGGGCTGGCCATGGCAGCGGCCACAAGGAGGAAGACGGACAACACAACGATCACCTGAAACACAACATGATGCTACACCTGTGTTGCTTCATTAACAGTCAACACAACAACTGTCCTCCATAATTTTAATACACAAAAATAATTATCTCTATCTAGAAGGAAATAATTTTCACATTCATATAAAAATCAATTATATATTACTTAACTAAGGTGTTTCTATACATTAATTTGAAGTAATATTAAATACTGCAGTAACTCACAGTCTTATGCATGGTGATGAAGTCTCAGATATGTCTGGTGTTCACTTCCCTGGGGTCCTCCCTTTTATACCCACCTCAACACTAGCACCATTTACCAACCCTCAGGTAAAAAAATAAAATAAAATCCTAATATCAACAAAACAGACCTGGAAAGACAATAAGATGAAAAAAAAACGGGAAATTTTCATTGAAGAAAGAAAAATAATTCTAATTCTCAAGCTTTAGTCATTATAAAAAACAGAGTCACAATACATACTTGACCTGAATGTGAAGAATATTGTCACCCATGACTGTCATTACCTTAAGTCACCTGTACTGGACTGGTCTCGTTCGTGGTTTTGTTTTTTCAGCAACATATTTCTCTTTCCTCTCATTAAGCTTCCTGCCAACACCCGTCTGTCATATATAAATGTAGATATATTTCTTGCTTTAATTTCTAGTTCCTATGTTACAATGAAGGTTAGGTTAGGTTAGGTTAAAAATGAAGATATCTAACACTGTAAATAATTAGTTTTTAATGATATGTGTTTCGTAGTTCTTACTGTTGTTGTCTTGTGTATGTATTGGATTAGTATACATACATACATACATACATACTTACATACATACATACATACATACATACATACATACATACATACATACATACATACATACATACATACATACTTACATACATACATACATACATTTCCCTAATATTCACATATTTTTAAGTATTCTCCAAAATATAATGTCAATATGTTTAATTACCTGTAGTTTCACCTTTAATGTTCTGTGTGAAGTTTATTTTTCAACACAAGGTTCTGGAATAATATTCAATTGTGAAGTAGCCAGAGTATTGGTTATTTAAGAGTGAATACTTACCCAGTTGAGATTTTAAAGTCTTGTTATGTCTTTGATCTTAACCCCTTGTGCATAGAAGGGTCTCTGTACTGGATGAAGTCGTCAGGCATTCGTAAAATGATATATTAAAAGTGGCGTCTTCGTAATGAAAGGTCAGTGGAGATAGTGTGTTAATAGGAATTCAAGTTGAAATTCCTTACAGAGACAAGTAACAGTCTAAGTACAGATATTTTTTAAATATTTTATAAGCATAACCTAACCTAACCTAACCTAACCTAACCTAACCTAACCTAACCTATCCTATCCTAAGCTAATCTAACCTAATCTATTGATTTGATTTTGCCGGGTACAGCGGCTACTTTATTGCGCACCCCACACTCATCCTGTGAGCGGTAGCGCAAAAGGATTACAGAGTAGAGTTTACAACGGGCCATAATGATTAACCCCCGCGGTCAGGATATTATGGCACTGAATGTTACACAGTATTTCAATTGCATTATTTGTTTAGTTCTATACATAAAGGGTAACTTATTCACAACTGCGTGAGTACAGGCGTGTGAGGCAGTATGTCTGGCCGCACACTTTGTTATTCACATTTACGTGAGAAGTATTCAAGCACATTGTGTATTTGCTTCTATACACGAGAACTGATATAGTTACTAAGTGCAAAAAAGTGGATACAATCTTAATATGTCGGCTATCTTGCCATTAGAGATGAGTGTTGTGCCATTTCACACACAGTGTGCTTGGACCTGTCCCTAAAAGGTTCTATCTTCACACAGTCGAGGACGTAGTGTTCAAGTGTGTGGCCATATGTCTGGCCACACACTTTACATTTAGTCTTGTTTGCATCTGCGTGAGGAACATACTGCCAGAGGTACTTATATCCTAACCTTAATCTAGCGGTTACAACATCTTGTAATCTAGTGATCTTGTTACTTGCTCCATATACATGTTTCACTTGATACATCTCATCATGGTAAACTATGGATTGACTATTGCCTGTTTGCACTAATCTAACTAAATCTCAAGGGGGGGGGGGGGAGTCTTTCATCTTTGGTTAAGTTTTGATTAGCTACTTTATGTTAGGTTAGGTGGATTTGGTGAGGTAAAGTATGGAAAGGTCGCCGAGAGGCATTTCTTAACAGATGCGAAAATATTGGCCTCACGAGTGCACGGACCGCAATTATTCTTTACAAAAAACCAGGAAAAAAAATACAGTTGTAACTCCTCCACCTTTAATGATATATTGTAGAGTAAGAATGAAGTTTTCTACTTTATATTTGTTTCCTAAAGCTGCTGCAGACAAGTACACATATTACCTTCTGCTTACCTCTTGTAATCACTAATGAAGATTCTGTAGCGTCAGTATTAAAGGTACACTAGAAGCAACATAAATAAATGTTTATGGGTTAAGTTTTTAAACCCAAATGATCTTCTCTCCATTTATTAAGAAAATAAACTAATGTACAATAACTAGGATATTACTGTAATTAACACTATGAGCTGTGGGTGTTAATAATGTGTAACGAGCTTCGTGAACACACATATGATGTGGGTGAGAAATTGGTACAGACTGCCAGAAGCCGACTACTATTTGGTGACCCACGCAGTTAATGTACTTACTGCTCATAGGCTAGTTACCGTGGGTGATGTAATTATATAAACTTAACTGATGTAGCCCACATTTATAGAAGTATTACTGGATGTCTGACAGGGGCTAATACACACATTAATGTTTTTACCGTATATTATTTAAAAATTTCACTTCACCAAGTAAATGTTACACGTTTTAGAAACTTGGTAAAATATCATAAAATAAATAGTGAATTATTGAGATATTTCCTTTAATTTTTAATTAATGATGAATAAACCTAAAGATCTTAATAGTTGAAGCGCTGTAATACATTATAACAACAAAATCAATGTTAAAAGGTGAATTATTATAGATATTGTGAAACTGATCTTTATAAATTTTCTATCATAGTGAGTTGTCTCAGCTTATGGTAATGTATTATAAGATCACCAGGCACTGTAAGAGCAGCTCAGGTTGGCTCACTAGTAATAAGACACAAGTTTAGTAAGTGGTTTATTTTTGTCGTAGAAACATTTATGTGAGTTTAGGTGACAATAACAGTAGCTGGGAGAAACTCGGGGTTATAACAGAGGTTGTGGAGAAACTCGGGGTTATAACAGAGGTTGTGGAGAAACTCGGGGTTATAACAGAGGTTGTGGAGAAACACGGGGTTATAACAATAACAGTGGAGAAACTCGGGGTTATAACAGAGGTTGTGGAGAAACTCGGGGTTATAACAGAGGTTGTGGAGAAACTCGGGGTTATAACAGAGGTTGTGGAGAAACTCGGGGTTAACAGATAACAGAGGTTGTGGAGTTAAACACGGGGTTATAACAGAGGTTGTGGAGAAAATCGGGGTTATAACAGAGGTTGTGGAGAAACTCGGGGTTATAACAGAGGTTGTGGAGAAACTCGGGGTTATAACAGAGGTTGTGGAGAAACTCGGGGTTATAACAGAGGTTGTGGAGAAACTCGGGGTTATAACAGAGGTTGTGGAGAAACTCGGGGTTATAACAGAGGTTGTGGCCAAGGTGTTGTGCTGGGCTGCCACTGACTTCCTGAAAGACAGAAATATTCAGATAGTTGTATGTTTACTTCCTTACTTAAGACACCATTGTTATCGTTACGTGATGAATTATTTTACCATTGTTATCGTTACGTGATGAATTATTTTACCATTGTTATCGTTACGTGATGAATTATTTTACCATTGTTATCGTTACGTGATGAATTATTTTACCATTGTTATCGTTACGTGATGAATTATTTTACCATTGTTATCGTTACGTGATGAATTATTTTGTTAATCATAATCTACTGTGACTTAATATACTAACAAAATATAAACTTTTAATGTAGGTTGAAGTTAGTATTTCATAGTTACTGAAGTGTAGACATATTAACTGAGGAATTATTTCTTGATTTAATCGTTATTAATGTCAGTAATTAAAATAAGGTAAAGAATATTTCCTTGTCTCAGTGTGTTAATGTGACTGGGGTAAGTCTCTGCCGTCTTGTCATTTGTTATGTTCACACTATAATGTTCTTACTTTCCTCTACTACACAATATTACATTAGTTAATTATCCTCACCTTTAACGTCCATATCCATAACCACCGCCGTAACCACCATATCCACGACCACCATAGCCGTATCCACCTCCATATCCATATCCGCCTCCATAGCCACCATATCCTCCACCATAGCCTCCATAGCCACCATAGCCAGGGTCGGGCATGGGGCTGGCCATGGCAGCGGCCACAAGGAGGAAGACGGACAACACAACGATCACCTGAAACACAACATGATGTTACACCTGTGTTGCTTCATTAACAGTCTACACAACATTATGGTAACTATCGTGTACAAGTTGCCAGAAGATGTGACGAAACCTCCTTATTATGTCCTGAAATATATTGAAGGCTCAAGTGACATTCATATAAGCAATTTTTCTCTTTGAGGACTTTAGGATTTTTATTTACATTTACTCTAACATAAATATTCATACTCTAATACAAATTATATGAGTAAATCCTGGATAGTTATATAACCTGTAGCAACTCACAGCCTTAAACATGGTGATGAAGCCTCGGGGACGACTGACTGGCCGGAGTCTGGACCAGCCTTTATACTGTGTACCCGCCCCAACAATGGCGATAATTTGGCAACACCGAGGAACAAAACTCCTGGATTAAACAAGACAAAAATTTCCCTCTCTTACCTTAACCTTGAGACAACGGGAATACCGACGCGAGTAAAAAAATATGAATAGCAAAAATATATAACAAAAATGAATATATTTTAAAGTTAAAAACTCCTGAACACTAAGCAATGATCACCTGGTATTTGTCCAACAACAACACAACTAAATAAAGAAGTTAATGTTTATTTACATGTTTCCTTATTATCTTTACAATTATCAATAATTTCCGCTGACAGACAATTGACCTAAATCTTGACAAGTACAGTACGTGTATTTTTCTGCTTGGTATAGATATATTGTTTACCTGTATGATAAGTGTTAATTGATGAAGGTAAGACAATATTCCGGAGTTGGAGGGACCTGACACCTTATACTGAACCTCCATTGGTACCTGCTACCTTATACTGAACCTCCATTGGTACCTGACACTATTCTGAGCCTCCATTGGTACCTGACACCTTATACTGAACCCCATTGGTACCTGGCACTTTATAATGAACCTCCATTGGTACCTGACACTATATACTGAACCACCATTGGTACCTGACACTTTATACTGAACCCACATTGGTACCTGACACTATTCTGAGCCTCCATTGGTACCTGACACCTTATACTGAACCCCATTGGTACCTGGCACTTTATAATGAACCCCCATTGGTTACCTGACCTACACCCTGTAACCTGACCCTACCTGTAACTGACTGATACACACAGACTTCGATATGACTGTTCACATGTCCACCAAGGCTGAATCTTGACCCCAGAGTCTAGGAAGCCATAGAGAGTATTTATATAGCTCAGTGGCGGTCATATTGGAAGACCTTGGAAGTTTTCTCAGTGACGGTCATATTGGAAGACCTTGGAAGTTTTCGAGTGATTTTATAAGTCAGTGACGGTCATATTGGAAGAACTTGACAGCGTAGAGTGACTTGATAGGTCAGTGAGAGTGATATTGGAAGACCTTGGCTAGAGTTTATACTTATTGAAATACGAACACAAGAAAAGACACGCATTAGCACAGATGGCAACGAGCAGGTTTACGTTCCAAAGATCCTAATTACCAAACCTTACCAACAACAGTGTCAGAGATATCCAGGGGTAAGAAACACAACCTCGAGATATTGAACAATGTGTAATATACTGAGGCTTATGACGACGTATGATAGAACTTTACCATAAGTTTTTTTAGTTAAGTATTCCTTAATGTTGTGTCTCTATGGGGAAAAAGATTACTTGGTATTAATCGGGTTTTTTTAGAAATGTGTCTCATCTACAGCGTTCTCTCTCTCTCTCTCTCTCTCTCTCTGAGCTTCACTGCCTCCTGATATATGCTTCATTATAAGTTATATACTATAACCTTTATATATCTCCTATATTTAAACTCTTTTTTTTTAATACTTTAGATAAAGTTAAAACTCTTCGTAGTATAAAATTTCATATATTCTTCTTTATATCATTAATAAATTATCTATTTTAAAAATAAAACAGTGTTATTTACAATACTCTCGTTGAAGTAAAATAAACAAAGACTTTATTCTTTTATTTTTTATTATTTCATATAAAAATATTTCAGAATTTCTTTCAAGAAGTAAATGAAGATAAATGATACAGAAGGAGAAATAAAATAAAATAGTAGAAATAAGAGAAATGGTAGTCAATTATTTGTGTTTGTTCACCGCTGTTGTTCTGAAAAGATAAACACCCAGTTAGTTTAGACTTTTCAACTGATTAAGAACTTTACTGATGATTTAATTTATGACCTGTTGTGACGTGAACCTTAACGAGTAAGGTTAAAAGTATGTGTAACTCTTGTTATATATATGTCATGAATTAGTTGTTATTAGTTATAAAGAAGGAACTGGTTTATGATAACAGTTGTGTTATCATTGTTATATTGATCACTTGTTATCTTGTTTTCTTCACACTAAAATAATCTTCCTACTCGCCTTTATAGCGATATATTACATTAGTTAATCAATCTTGCCTTAACGTCCATATCCATAACCGCCTCCATAGCCACCATATCCACGACCGCCATAGCCGTATCCACCGCCATGGCCATATCCTCCATAGCCATATCCACCTCCACGGCCACCATATCCACCATATCCACCATATCCTCCTCCATATCCACCATAGCCACCATAGCCGGGGTCGGGCATGGGGCTGGCCATGGCAGCGGCCACAAGGAGGAAGACGGACAACACAACGATCACCTGAAACACAACATGATGCTACACCTGTGTTGCTTCATTAACAGACTACACAACAGTATTAGAAATATGAAGTTCAGAGTTAAGTTTCGTATTTTAACTTAAATTTAGGTCATTTGAGATAAGTGTAGATAGTAATAAAGTGGTACTGTTTCTCACAGCCTTAAACATGGTGATGAAGCCTCGGGTACGACTGACTGGAGGCAGGTGGACCAGCCTTTATATACCCGCCTCAACAATGGAGACATTTGGCAACACGAGAAAAATAATCGTAAAGTCAATAAAATATTTTCCTTTCTTTCTTTGAACTCGAGACACCGAAAGACAAAAACAAGATTGAAAAATAAACTCATTAACGAAACATTGATTAAAATAGCATAAAAAACAGAATTATATAACAGCAAAAAAACGAAAAATATCTGAATCGTGTGAGAATAAATTAATATCCAGATGAACACCTGTGGTTAATTTACCTTATCTATCCTTCCTATTGTATCAAAAGCCGAGCAAATTCTCCATGGCCCAACCTGACGAAACTTTACAATACAGTATACTTTTATTGACCTAAAATAATTGTATTGTAAACTAATTTGAATAAGATGGTTGTTGAGAAGAAAGATTTTTTTTACAAGGTTCACTTTCGATCTCAACTCTCAGATCTGTACTTGAACCTTTGTAGAATCATCCTGCGTAATTTAGTATTACGGAGGTGATGAGTGAGTGGAACAACTACCATATGTTTCCAGGAAGGTAGAAGGTAGTAGGTAGAAGGCAGCTACCAAACAGGGAGGTACTACCGCCTGGGAAGATATTGGAAGCATAATGTGTTGTCTAATGGTAGACCCTACTGCTATATGGCATCACGAAAATTGTGACCAAGTCCCAGGTTGCTGATCTGACTTTCTGCCTCATTTACACACAATTGCAGGGTCTCAATTGTTTCTCTTACTATTGACAACACAACATACATATATTGTTTCTCACTATTGATCCTTTTTTTTCATTTCTGAATTCATTTTTGCATTTATTTTTTTCCTCGCTCCTCCAGGCCCTATTGTGGGCTGGTGACCTGTGCCTGGGTGGGCTGAACCCGTAAAAAATATAATGGTGACCATTAGAGTGTGTTGTGTTCATACTGGTGACCATTAGTGTGTGTGTGTGTGTGTGTGTGTGTGTTGAGTCACCATCAGTCACTGAGACCTACACCATAGGTACAATTCAGACATATTGATAGTGAATTATGTTACACTTCCTTTTCTCTATTTTGTTAACTCCGTCAGGTTGAATGTCTTATGTAGAAATAAAGTATTCAAGTTTTATTCATCCAGTGTTAACAATGTTGTCGAAGTTAACAATCCTCTGTGCACGACGAAACATACATGACTTAACAATGTAACCCATCTTTAATAATCCCTTGTTTACCATATAATTAACAAGTGATAATAATATAGTTTTACGTAAACAACTATGTTTATGACATAAGATAACATGCAGACAACTTATTGAGTCTTTGTAACTTACTCGTCAACAATCCTCTATACCAGTGGTTCTCAACCTTGTTTGCCCCATGCACCCCTTTCACCATATGTCAGAATGTCATTCCCCCTCCTTTCCAAGATTGTCTGCCTCAAAATGTGCATTCCAAATAATATGCATATAATACTGAAAAACCTTTATTTTTTCCATATTAGTACATATACATTTACAATTTTACATGGATTATTTTTATAGTGGAGTCTTACAAATTAAATGCCAATTGAAAATGTTGATGGATTTATAAAACTTGAACAAAAGTAAAATAGTTTTTTTATATTTGTAATGAATTACTTAACAGACCAAACTGAAGCATAATGCAATAAACAAAAGTTCAATAGAATACCAGGATATTGTAAATTTGTAATTAATTTTATTCAGATGAAGATTACAGTCAATGAGAAACCTGTGAATGTTTTTTCTTCGCCAATTCTGGGATACGCGGAGGAGTGCTTGAAAGGGCACAACGCAGGTCATTTTCTACCTCTAATCTACTACGTTGCTTCGTTTTAATTTGCAACAGAGTTGAAAAGCCTGACTCACAAAGATATGTCGACACAAACGGAAGCAATGCACGGATAGCTCTTTCTGCCACTTTTGGGTAGGAATCGCACATCAAGGGCCAAAATTCTGTGATTGATTTCTCATCGAACATATCTCTTGCTCCCGAATCAGTTTTCCCCCCCTGAAAACCTGAATTCCCCCCTGGTCCTGGTTGAGAACCACTGCTCTATACACTTCGCCGTTTAGTTACCTCAACGTGAATCATTATAGTTTTACTAATATTTCGGATTACCTGAAGAATCTCCACCCCAGCTTATCTCACCTAAAGATTAATCACCCTAAAGCTTACCTAACCTACCTTATCCTAAACTACCTTAACCTAAATAATGTTAGGGTGGTTAATCTTTAGGTGAAATAAGCTGGGGTGGAGATTCTTCAGGTGATCTAATATTTCACTTCACCTGATCCACTGAGTTATAATGCTTCTTGGGTATTATAGGTCTTATTAATTTATTACATCACTACGCTTCAATAACCAAGGTGTTTAAAATGCGTATTGTAAGTCGGTAAATATACTAATTAACAACAATTTAAGTCTTAAGAGAACGTAATGTAAGAATTCTTTATCCATTTGGTCTATGACTGATTGTAGCATTGACTCTAATCAAGCATAATGTTCTAATCCCGAGCCTTGGGAGTGAGTTGATGTCTTCCAATCACATCATTACCTATACAACTAAGGAACTAGATAAATCCCAGTTATAGATACTATAATTAGGATTTATGTAGTCCTGATTATATTACTGCATAAAATGTCTTATATTCTTAGTAACCAAGTACCTTATGAACCCACAGTTAAGAAATTAAACGAAAAAATAAAGGTTGTCTCCACCACATAGTTTACTACTTAAGACCATAGAAAGAAAACACTCATTATTTTAGGATTTTTTTTATTATGTGTAAAAATAATTAATATTTTTTAACATGGGTAAATGTGGAAGAAACTTGAGAAATGTGAGATAATATCGTGAGAATAAATTTAACATTATTATCCGGATGTTGATACTGCCAATGTTGACCTGAAAAATAAACATTTATTAGCGTCTATAATTCTCATTATTTTAATTACAATAATATACATTAATTATATTAACTCTAAGAAGTTATTCATAAAGATGTGCGATACACAGTGTAATAACTAAATTCTCTTTAAGTCTCTTCAAGTAAATTCTCCCGCATGTAAGAAACTATTAACTCTGGCGTGAAGAAAGGGAATTTAAATATTATTTCAGAAATCTCCATTATTTGGTTGAAAGGAAGGCAGTGTGGTAACGGTGTCAGTGTTAAGGTGGCGAAGATAAGTCTCTTTCCCGCCTCACCACTTGTTATGTTCACAATAAGTGTTCATCTTACTCGCCTCTACTACACAATATTACATTACTTAACCTAACCTCACCTTTAACGCCCATATCCATAACCACCGCCGTAGCCACCATAGCCGTATCCTCCACCATGACCGTATCCTCCATAGCCACCATATCCACCTCCACGGCCACCATAACCACCATATCCTCCACCATATCCGCCACCATGTCCTCCACCATATCCTCCACCATGGCCACCATAGCCAGGGTCGGGCATGGGGCTGGCCATGGCAGCGGCCACAAGGAGGAAGACGGACAACACAACGATCACCTGAAACACAACATGATGCTACACCTGTGTTGCTTCATTAACAGTCTACACAACATTATGGTCTTAAACCTTACAACAGGAAACTTTAATTAAGCTCAAGCTTCAATGTTTAATATTACAAATGTTTTTTATCCAATAAGATTTTGATCCGGTAGAGAATTTCTAACTAAACCTAATTTGAATTTCAAATCCAGTAAACTTTTTCTAAGAACATGAAATATAAATAGATATGTATATTAGAGAGACTTGGCCGGGTGGTCAGTCCATGATGTATCTCAGCAACACATAATAAAACTCACAGTCTTAATCATCTTGTTGAAGCTCCGGGTGAGACTGAGTGTACCCCGCCAGGTTCCTCCTATATATACCCGCCTCAACAATGGCGACGTCTGACACCTCGCCGGAAACCAAATCATTCACAATATCAACAAACAATTTCCTTCCTGACCTTCACCTGGGACGCAGAGAAACAATATCGTGAAGCAGAACAAAAGCTTACCTGAGAAATACTTTAAAGAATAGATCAAGAACTACAGCTATAATGCTTAAGAGTGGAGAGACTAAAGTTAATTTGAACGTAACGAGAAGAAAGTTAAAATAATGTTTAATATCAACATAAGAAATAGAGAAACAACTTGATACACATTTACGTCAATATATCTAATATGAATTAATATCCTGAGGTGTTGAAACGTTCTCTGGTGTTGATAATATTGCCATGATCTTTAAGTGTTGGTCAGAACGCGACAACAAACTTTTATATATTTATTTGGTGAAGTTTGTACATATTTTTTTAGGAATGTATTAATACATTTTCTCAGACACGTTATACTTTTTTTCCAGCCTACGACGACATTTTTTTCTAGAGGAAAGAAATACTGAACCGTATATTGTATTAATAAAATACCTGAGCATTTGTGCTTTCGAGTTTCTTAAGCTGAAATTATATTTTTATAAAATAATCCCGGTGGTATTTTATCATTCACAAATGTCTAGTGTCGAGAATGACTCACTTTGTTCATTACTGAGGAACAAGAACACTATGTCACCTGTTTATGTTGATCATTTAGAACAGCGAAGGTATATTAAGTTCTATTACTAATTGTCATAATATTTTAAACCTTTACAACTTACTAATGTTTGTTAACACCCATGACTGACGTATGACCATGAAAAGTTTATCTAATCATCATAAATGTTTAATTTATGGTTTTTAGATCATAATATTGAACTGTGAAGATCATGGCTAAGTGGAGAGGGAACTGATCTTCAGTACAAATTTAAAGTTCCCAAATTCGAACCCCAGGCCAAGGCAGTAATTCCAGAACGAATGAATTGACCACTCTCCCTCACCTCATTATACTCTCTCTAATTCCCACTGAGAATTACTATCTTATCCCACAAAGAATAAACAAAGCAAAATACTCAAAGAACATTATTATGGTTGGAAGTCTGAATCATACGTAAGTCTTAAGCAGATGTATAATTCACTCTCCATCACGTTAAATGTTTTGGTAATAATTTAAATGTGAGAGAAAACAGTGAAGGATAGATAGATTAAACCAGACACAGTAATAAGGAGTAAGTTTAGACAAGAGAAATGAACATATCCGCCCTGACAAGTTTGTAATTGAGTTCATCTGACAAAGAACTTACCATCAGTATTAGGTAATGTTTCACTTAGTCTGGAGTACAACCGACCCAGACAACAATCACCTCGACTTCTTGTTTACCAATCATTTGTTTACCATCACTGTCTAGTAAATAACTTGTTTACTTTCACTGTCTATATTTATTGTTTATTTCTGTTGTTTATATACAAACTAAATCATTGATAACTTGTTTGACGATGTTATTGAGTAATATCTCTCTAGTAGAATGACTCGTGGTGAGAACACACTTTGGTGCTTCCCGTCATGTCGTCTCACTTCATAAAGAATCGATAAAGTGCTTATGTTTGGTCCATATTATATTGTAAAGTTATTAAGAGTTGTTTAGGAATTATATCTGATTAATCAAGCCATTATTATTATTATTATTGTTTAGTACGCTGTTCACTTTATGGATTACCTTTATATTAGGTACCAGGCTATTTCACCTTAATTTAAGTCACCCCAACTTATCATACTTGAAGATTAATGAACCCAATATTAATGTAACCTAAACTAACTTAACCCAAGCTTATCTAACTTAACTTTAACTTAAGTAATCCCCGTGTAGCGTTAGGGTGATTAATCTTCAGGTGAAATGAGCTTGAGTGTCTTGTCTTCAGGTAATCCGAGTCTGCATTTTTTGTCAGGGCTTTGAGTCTCTCCCCCAAAAAAACCTTTTAAGTGAAAATACTCATGAATTCTCTCTCTCTCTCTCTCTCTCTCTCTCTCTCTCTTGGTTTTACATCTATTTCTCGTATTATCATTAACAAGTCAGATACATGAATGAGTTACACCATAAAGCTTGTTGAGTATTGTACAAAGTATCTCCTCACTAACACCCTACTGAGGAACTATTCTACAAGTTATAAGTCACCATACTTGTTGAAGTCACCATACTTGTTGAGATCACTATATTTGCTTAATTCGTTATATATATTGATTCTCCATATATGTTGAGGTCACTATTATTTTTGAGTCACCATATTTGTTGAGGTCACTATATTTATTGAGGTCACCATATTTGTTTAGGTCACTATATGTACTGAGGTCACCATACGTATTGAGGTCACCATAGTTGTTGATATCATCATATTTGTTAAAGTCACCAAACCTAACCTAATGGAATATACTGTATACCAGTGACTCCCATAACACATTAATACACATATATATTCTGGTTCATTATTATAAAACAACCTTTTTTATTTATATTTATTTCATATAAAAGTCTTGAACTATATTACATGGGTCAATAAAGAACTTGACGAAAGAGACGAAGAAATTGAGACAATATCGTTGGAATAATAAAGATTAATGTGTTTATTTTTCCAAGATTATCGTTGTTCTTCTGAAAAAAAAAGTAACAATCATTAAATCGGTTTATTTTTGTATATATTAAAAATTCTTAAATTTAATAAACTAAAATATAGATAAATATATTAATTCTAAGGTTTAATAAAAACATTTTTGTGTTTATGGTCAAGTTTGTCAATGTTATGTAATGAACTGAAGAGATTTGTTACTTTCATATATCAATAATCTTATAAAAGTCTTATTTAGTTTGAGTTGTGATTATTTTTTCCTTCCTCGTTGTATGAAGGTGATGCTAAAAATTATAGTAATGATTATTATCCTCACCTTTAACGCCCATATCCATAACCACCGCCGTAGCCACCATAGCCGTATCCTCCACCATGACCGTATCCTCCATAGCCACCATATCCACCTCCACGGCCACCATAACCACCATATCCTCCACCATATCCGCCACCATGTCCTCCACCATATCCTCCACCATGGCCACCATAGCCAGGGTCGGGCATGGGGCTGGCCATGGCAGCGGCCACAAGGAGGAAGACGGACAACACAACGATCACCTGAAACACAACATGATGCTACACCTGTGTTGCTTCATTAACAGTCAACACAACATTATGGTCTTAAACCTTACAACAGGTAACTTTAATTAAGCTCAAGTTTCAATGTTTAATATTACAAATGTTTTTTACCCATGATAAGCTACACCTGTGTTGCTTCATTAACAGTCAACACAACATTATGGTCTTAAACCTTACAACAGGTAACTTTAATTAAGCTCAAGTTTTAAATGTTTAATATTACAAATGTTTTTTACCAATAAGATTTTGATCCGTTAGAGAATTTCTAACTAAACCTAAGTAGAATTTAAAATCCAGTAAACTTTTTCTAAGAACATGAAATATAAATAGATATGTATATTAGAGAGACTTGGCCGGGTGGTCAGTCCATGATGTATCTCAGCAACACATAATAAAACTCACAGTCTTAATCATCTTGTTGAAGCTCCGGGTGAGACTGAGTGTACCCCGCCAGGTTCCTCCTATATATACCCGCCTCAACAATGGCGACGTCTGACACCTCGCCGGAAACCAAATCATTCACAATATCAACAAACAATTTCCTTCCTGACCTTCACCTGGGACGCAGAGAAACAATATCGTGAAGCAGAACAAAAGCTTACCTGAGAAATACTTTAAAGAATAGATCAAGAACTACAGCTATAATGCTTAAGAGTGGAGAGACTAAAGTTAATTTGAACGTAACGAGAAGAAAGTTAAAATAATGTTTAATATCAACATAAGAAATAGAGAAACAACTTGATACACATTTACGTCAATATATCTAATATGAATTAATATCCTGAGGTGTTGAAACGTTCTCTGGTGTTGATAATATTGCCATGATCTTTAAGTGTTGGTCAGAACGCGACAACAAACTTTTATATATTTATTTGGTGAAGTTTGTACATATTTTTTTAGGAATGTATTAATACATTTTCTCAGACACGTTATACTTTTTTTCCAGCCTACGACGACATTTTTTTCTAGAGGAAAGAAATACTGAACCGTATATTGTATTAATAAAATACCTGAGCATTTGTGCTTTCGAGTTTCTTAAGCTGAAATTATATTTTTATAAAATAATCCCGGTGGTATTTTATCATTCACAAATGTCTAGTGTCGAGAATGACTCACTTTGTTCATTACTGAGGAACAAGAACACTATGTCACCTGTTTATGTTGATCATTTAGAACAGCGAAGGTATATTAAGTTCTATTACTAATTGTCATAATATTTTAAACCTTTACAACTTACTAATGTTTGTTAACACCCATGACTGACGTATGACCATGAAAAGTTTATCTAATCATCATAAATGTTTAATTTATGGTTTTTAGATCATAATATTGAACTGTGAAGATCATGGCTAAGTGGAGAGGGAACTGATCTTCAGTACAAATTTAAAGTTCCCAAATTCGAACCCCAGGCCAAGGCAGTAATTCCAGAACGAATGAATTGACCAATACTCAAAGAACATTATTATGGTTGGAAGTCTGAATCATACGTAAGTCTTAAGCAGATGTATAATTCACTCTCCATCACGTTAAATGTTTTGGTAATAATTTAAATGTGAGAGAAAACAGTGAAGGATAGATAGATTAAACCAGACACAGTAATAAGGAGTAAGTTTAGACAAGAGAAATGAACATATCCGCCCTGACAAGTTTGTAATTGAGTTCATCTGACAAAGAACTTACCATCAGTATTAGGTAATGTTTCACTTAGTCTGGAGTACAACCGACCCAGACAACAATCACCTCGACTTCTTGTTTACCAATCATTTGTTTACCATCACTGTCTAGTAAATAACTTGTTTACTTTCACTGTCTATATTTATTGTTTATTTCTGTTGTTTATATACAAACTAAATCATTGATAACTTGTTTGACGATGTTATTGAGTAATATCTCTCTAGTAGAATGACTCGTGGTGAGAACACACTTTGGTGCTTCCCGTCATGTCGTCTCACTTCATAAAGAATCGATAAAGTGCTTATGTTTGGTCCATATTATATTGTAAAGTTATTAAGAGTTGTTTAGGAATTATATCTGATTAATCAAGCCATTATTATTATTATTATTGTTTAGTACGCTGTTCACTTTATGGATTACCTTTATATTAGGTACCAGGCTATTTCACCTTAATTTAAGTCACCCCAACTTATCATACTTGAAGATTAATGAACCCAATATTAATGTAACCTAAACTAACTTAACCCAAGCTTATCTAACTTAACTTTAACTTAAGTAATCCCCGTGTAGCGTTAGGGTGATTAATCTTCAGGTGAAATGAGCTTGAGTGTCTTGTCTTCAGGTAATCCGAGTCTGCATTTTTTGTCAGGGCTTTGAGTCTCTCCCCCAAAAAAACCTTTTAAGTGAAAATACTCATGAATTCTCTCTCTCTCTCTCTCTCTCTCTCTCTCTCTCTTGGTTTTACATCTATTTCTCGTATTATCATTAACAAGTCAGATACATGAATGAGTTACACCATAAAGCTTGTTGAGTATTGTACAAAGTATCTCCTCACTAACACCCTACTGAGGAACTATTCTACAAGTTATAAGTCACCATACTTGTTGAAGTCACCATACTTGTTGAGATCACTATATTTGCTTAATTCGTTATATATATTGATTCTCCATATATGTTGAGGTCACTATTATTTTTGAGTCACCATATTTGTTGAGGTCACTATATTTATTGAGGTCACCATATTTGTTTAGGTCACTATATGTACTGAGGTCACCATACGTATTGAGGTCACCATAGTTGTTGATATCATCATATTTGTTAAAGTCACCAAACCTAACCTAATGGAATATACTGTATACCAGTGACTCCCATAACACATTAATACACATATATATTCTGGTTCATTATTATAAAACAACCTTTTTTATTTATATTTATTTCATATAAAAGTCTTGAACTATATTACATGGGTCAATAAAGAACTTGACGAAAGAGACGAAGAAATTGAGACAATATCGTTGGAATAATAAAGATTAATGTGTTTATTTTTCCAAGATTATCGTTGTTCTTCTGAAAAAAAAAGTAACAATCATTAAATCGGTTTATTTTTGTATATATTAAAAATTCTTAAATTTAATAAACTAAAATATAGATAAATATATTAATTCTAAGGTTTAATAAAAACATTTTTGTGTTTATGGTCAAGTTTGTCAATGTTATGTAATGAACTGAAGAGATTTGTTACTTTCATATATCAATAATCTTATAAAAGTCTTATTTAGTTTGAGTTGTGATTATTTTTTCCTTCCTCGTTGTATGAAGGTGATGCTAAAAATTATAGTAATGATTATTATCCTCACCTTTAACGCCCATATCCATAACCACCGCCGTAGCCACCATAGCCGTATCCTCCACCATGACCGTATCCTCCATAGCCACCATATCCACCTCCACGGCCACCATAACCACCATATCCTCCACCATATCCGCCACCATGTCCTCCACCATATCCTCCACCATGGCCACCATAGCCAGGGTCGGGCATGGGGCTGGCCATGGCAGCGGCCACAAGGAGGAAGACGGACAACACAACGATCACCTGAAACACAACATGATGCTACACCTGTGTTGCTTCATTAACAGTCAACACAACATTATGGTCTTAAACCTTACAACAGGTAACTTTAATTAAGCTCAAGTTTTAAATGTTTAATATTACAAATGTTTTTTACCCAATAAGATTTTGATCCGTTAGAGAATTTCTAACTAAACCTAAGTAGAATTTAAAATCCAGTAAACTTTTTCTAAGAACATGAAATATAAATAGATATGTATATTAGAGAGACTTGGCCGGGTGATCAGTCCATGATGTATCTCAGCAACACATAATAAAACTCACAGTCTTAATCATCTTGTTGAAGCTCCGGGTGAGACTGAGTGTACCCCGCCAGGTTCCTCCTATATATACCCGCCTCAACAATGGCGACGTCTGACACCTCGCCGGAAACCAAATCATTCACAATATCAACAAACAATTTCCTTCCTGACCTTCACCTGGGACGCAGAGAAACAATATCGTGATGTAGAACAAAAGTTTACCTGGGAAATACTTTAGCATTAGTTCAGGGACTCCAGTTTAGGCTTAGCTGTGGGGAAACAACAATAATTTGACCTTACTGAGAAGAAAGTTGAAATGAAGTAGATTATACAACCATTTAATATGCATTCCTCATATTCTTCGATATTATCACATTATCTCTCAGAAAATATTGTTATTATGTTGTATAGGTTTTATTTGTAAGAACTTTTGAGATAATTATATGTTTCTAGTTTAGTGAGACCAAATGAGTGAATGGTGACGCTTCCATGATCTTCAGCAATAGCGTTTGTTGTTTGATTACTTTCTAGAAATGTAAATCCTGACAAAAAGACGAAAAAAAAATAATTCCTTTGGATTCTATTGAGTTAGGTTAGATTAGGTTAGATTAGCTTAGGTTAGGTTAGATTAGGTTAGATTAGCTTAGGTTAGGTTAGATTAGCTTAGGTTAGGTTAGATTAGGTTAGATTAGCTTAGGTTAGGTTAGATTAGCTTAGGTTAGCTTAGATTAGGTTAGATTAGCTTAGGTTAGGTTAGATTATACCAGATATAAAAGTCTTGTTCCCTCAAGCTGAATAAATTGTTTGTGATCTGAATACACTTGACCAGAATGTATTAGTCACTGTTGTAAACAAAAAAGACTTTACGTGTTAGTTAAGAAAATATACCAGACAATGACAGTGTGTTGGCTTAGTCATGTTAAATCTGGTGCTTAAAGCCACTCTCAATACCATTCAGTACGAAGACAATTCAAACTTAGTACATTTAGACATGATTCAGATTTCTAGAAGAGAGTTATTTATAAGTTTTCTTTCCGTCTTAAACCTTTATTGCCAAATGACTAACGTTGCAAGGCCTCTAATTTCGTCAATCTATTTAATAGTTGTTTCTTATCGTTGAAGTCAAAGGAGAAACACTTGAATTCATTGTTCGACTGTCTTTGTTTTGTATTTAGATCTGAATAGAGGGTTTTGGGCGTGTTTTGTTTAGGTTAGGTTAGGTTACGATAGGCAAAGTTTGGTTAGTTTAGACGAAGTTAGGTTAGGTTATGTTAGGTTACCTTTCGGGTATTTAAACATCAGGTGAAATAATCCTAGGTGTTTAATCTTCTGTAGAATCCAATCTCTTTCTAGTTTGACGTTCCCACCTACTCATTACTTTAACTTTATTGCCATATACCTTTACACACCTGTCTGATAGATATAAGGTTTTTCTCTACAAATTTTCTATCTAATCATCATATTTTTATCTTAATGGCTAATGAATATACAATCAGGGATAAGGTTGTTGGTATAATGTATCACTGAGCTTTAACTTTTTGAGTACGTGGGGCGGGGGCGGGCGGGCGGGCGGGTCACTCTGTGCTGAATAAAATCGTCTGGCCGCCCCCACAGTCTGTAAGCGCGTTTTCTATATGAGTAAAATATACACATTATAAACAAGCGATTACAAAGAGAGATACAGTATAAAAGCCATTTAACGCATATCATCTTTGACACACTGTTTGAACCATTAACTGACGTAAATTATTTTAATACTAAGTCATTTTATAACTAATATCTTATTGTTTTGAATTGAATGTTTAATTTTTTTCATTTTATATTAGTTTCTTTTATATTTCAATTGTATTAGATTATTTCTATATCATTTTAAACATGAAGTGAGTATCGAAGATTATTTAATTTGGTTAATGTTTACGTATTGTTTTAACTTTCATTTGTCTCTATAGTATTTATATCGTGAATGTATTATTGACAAAAAATCGTATACTATATAAGTGTCACGCCTGTAATGTTACTTCAGAAGTCACTATACATGTTAGGGTTCACTATATACGTGTTACATCTATTACAACGATTCACTACTGTATACCTGTTGGAGACACCATATATGTATTAATAAGTATTGTGTATATATCTATCATACAGTGACCGAGATGGCCGCCTCAAAAATATGACATTATTATAGAATTATGGTCTGTGATTTTATATTTGTTGGCATTTAGAACTTAGAAGCTTTACATGAATTGCTATGGTCTTGTTATAGTAGTCTTTCATATATAAAGTTTTGTGATCATTTCTGTTCAAATATTCAAATTTTCAAGTAAGAGTTTGTAATATTATAAAAAAAAAAAAGAATATTTGTTTGGGTATTTGTTGGGTTTGGGTCTTAGAGGCATAAAACACAAGTATAATCAGTGACTTTTATTTCACATATACAAAGTCGAGTCTTACAATAAATGAGGAAGTTGATAAATAATAAAAGAGGAAATAATAGAGAAAATAAAATAAAATAAAATAAACAAAATTTTTTATCAGGATTTTGTGTTTTCTTTTGTTGTTGACCTGAAAAATAAAACATAAATTAGTTTTTTTAATTCATAATTTTTTCTGCATATAGACGCTATCAATACTTATTAAAGATCTTATTGTAATTTATTTTAATATTAAGTTTCGTTTTGCTAGATTCATTGTGTGATTTTGGTTCTAGTTTTATTTCCTAATTTCTTTACAAAAATGATTTATTATTTCGTCAACAGATACCTGGGAAGTCCACAGTAACTCACTAATAAATTAACCTCACCTTTAACGACCATGACCATAACCGTATCCACCGCCGTAACCACCATAGCCGCCATATCCACGACCTCCATGACCGTATCCACCACCATGGCCGTATCCGCCGCCATAGCCGTATCCGCTGCCATAGCCGCCACCATAGCCGCCATATCCTCCACCATAGCCACCATAGCCAGGGTCGGGCATGGGGCTGGCCATGGCAGCGGCCACAAGGAGGAAGACGGACAACACAACGATCACCTGAAACACAACATGATGCTACACCTGTGTTGCTTCATTAACAGTCTACATAATACAGCTTTGTGTGTGTGTGTGTGTGTGTGTTCTCTCTCATAAATGTAACAAATATCTCTCTACTCTAAGGCACAACAGCAGCCCAATTGAGAGAATTACTGAACTAAACTACCGGTCTTAACAGCATATTAGTTTAAACAAACATGAACGTGAATATACAGTACATGCTTAAGTGACTCGACAAATTGCAGTAGTGTAGTAAGATTCGGTCTACCAGGTAATGTTTACAGGAACTCACAGCTTTGAATGCCATTATGAATGCTCCGGATATGACCAGACATGTGAAGTGCTTGACTTTATATACTGTAACCCAGCACTAGCGACATCTGGCAGTGAAGGGAGGAAATGCATCAGTGATCTCGACACAGGACCTTCCTTTCTGACCTTCACCACGGTACAAACACTGACACAGACTTTGAATAATTGTAAATGAACTGATGGAAAGAGACTAAACAATTGATTTTCTTTAACTTTATATTTTGTCAGTTTTATGGTTTTATGCTTGAAAAATCTGAAAGAAGTTAGAGAATAAAAAACAAATGTATTGCCTTAATTAAAAAATAGGACTTCAAACACATCCAACGAAGCACGTGTTGACGTCAGTGCTCGAGGATTCTGGACGCGGGGACAGCGAGCCTTCTTCAACATCAGGATTTTTTATCCCATTGCCTTATGTCACCGTAACTTAGCTCTCGATGCTGCACACAGGAGGAACGAGAACGACAAGATAAGGGCATATAGGGAGAGAATTCAGAACGTTGATCAAGGCAGCTTCACTCCTCTAGTGTTCACAACCTCTGGTGGGATGGGACCAAGTGCAAGATGTTTCTACGCCAGACTCGCGGAGGTGTTATCCGAACAGAAGCAGCAGCCCAGAAGTTATGTTACAGCCTGGTTGAGATACCTCCTTCGGTCTGCTTTGCTCTACCTCAGGGGAACTAGAGCATCGGCCCCAAAGCCGACAACAGTTGCAGATATTGACTACGAGGCAACAGTCACTGAATGCCACATAGATCTGCGGCTCAACTAACTCAACACAGCCAGGGTAGCTACTTATGTATTAGGATAGTTAATTTTAAGGTAATAAAATGGCGGCGAAGGTGTGGCTATTGGGGGAGGCTGGAGGACACGTAAAAAAAAATGTCATGGTGTGCAAGAAGGGAAGTTTCATTCGTTTCCATGAGTCACAATGAAATAAAGAACCTCATAGCAAATATGTTGAAGGAGATATGCCACGACGTCACTGTAGAACCGACCCTCCTATCACTAGATGGGGAGCGTTTCCTTCACCGGATTGTCAACACAACTAGTGATGCCCTGTGGACGTAGGTGCTCGAGGATTCTGGACGAGGGAGCAACGAGCCTTCTTTGATATCAGGATAATCGATCCCCTGGCCGCATGTCTCCATGACTGGCTCTTGACATTTCACACACAAAAAACGAGAACGAAAAGAACAGAATAAATGCAGAGAGAAACCAGAACGTGGATCAAGGCAGCTTCATTGCTCTGGTGTTAACAGCATCGGGCGGAATGGGACCTAGTGCAAAATATTTCAATGTCTAACTGACTGGGATGTTATCAGAGCAGCAGCAACAACCACGAAGTTACATCGTGGTCTGGTTGAAGTGTCGCCTATCCTTCTCTTTATTCAGGTCTACTTTGCTGTGCCTCAGGGAACAAGATCTTTGGCCCCTAAACCAACAACAGTCGCTGATTCTGGGGCAACAGACACTGAATGACGCATAGGTACATACTTTTGCATGAGTATAGTTAAGTAATGTAATGTGTGGCAAAAGTATGGCGATAATGGTAAGTTGGAAACCATACTGAAATAGTAGTAGACATAGGAGTAATAGTAGACGCAGTAGTAGACGTAGTAGAAATAGTAATAGTAGTTATCATAGTAGTAGTAGTAGTAATATGGCGACCTGTAGTGTAATGGTCAGTATGCTCGCCTCGCAAGCGAGCGGACCAGGGTCCGTTTCTTTATGCCATTTGCCTCTGTTTACCTGACTGTTAATCGATTTGCGGATCGAGTTCCGGGTTAATGGTTAGCCAGTGCAGTTGGCGAGTTGTCCGGTCTTCTCCGACATGCAGCCCGTTAGCTTAGGGCGTGGTTGCTGTGACTGGCGATAGCTTCTACACCTTAAACAAATTCACGCCTAGGTGGCCCTTGGTCCGACCATCCTCGTTACATGAGGGGCAATCATTAGTAGTAGTAGTAGCCGTAGTAGTGATAGTAGTAGCTTTAATAGTAGTATTAGCAGTAGCACTCACCTCGAGACACACAGTCCACCTTCATAGCCACCACCACTGAGTCATATTTTTCTCTACACACACAAAACGTAATTACACCTTCCATGAACCTCTAAATCCCTGTCACATAACATTCTCAAACAAAACAAACAAGCACACACACACACACACACACACACACACACACACACACACAACAAACTCCATAAACAAACACATTAATAAATTCGTAAAAAAAACACAAGATAAAACAAAAAAAAACATAATAAAACGAGAGAAAAACAAAATAAAAACTTCATCAAAAGACAAGATTAACAGTACATAACCTTGAGATATATTTTCCAGTTAAATATTAAGAAGAGGTTAAGGTGTGGCTCTGACCCGCTGGAGGTCACTCGCCACCCTGTCATGACTCAGCGCTTGTTATTTTCAGTCTCGTGAATCATTCTTTTTGTACTGTAGTTCCTGACGTATCATTAACTCTCTTACTGGTGACAAGACGCAATAGTAGTAGTAGTAGTAGTAATAATAATAATAATAATAATAATAATAATAATAATAATAATAATAATAATAATAATAAACACGAAAGCCAAAAATACGCACAAACGCCTCTTCTTTCCTTCATTTGTTTAATATCTGCTAAAACATTATAGCCGACAAGTGACCCCATATTCCAATTAGGTTTACCAGGGTACTTCATCAGATAGTAGGAGGGAGCGTAACTATAAGAGCTTTGGTATATGAGTTGTTGGTGGCTGGTGAGAAGTGAAGGGGACTCCATGATAGAGGAGGAAGAGGAATATGATGAGGTGAATGGTGGGTGAATGGTGGGTGAATGGTGGGTGAATGGTGGGTGAAGGTGGTGGGTGAATAGTGGGTGAATGGTGGGTTAATAGTGGGTGAATGGTGGGTGAATGGTGGGTGAATGGTGGGTGAATAGTGGGTGAATGGTGGGTGAATGGTGGGTGAATGGACGTTACAGTAAATAGAGACAGAGTGAATAATGAGTGAATAATAGTGAATGAATCTTTACAACCTACAACTGTTAGAGTGTTAAATGAAGGGAAGATATAGACAGTGAGTTAGGGACTACTGAGTTGACTGAAGGGATTCCGACCAGTTATTTATATTTTCTTTGATTTCTTTTTTCTTTGTCATGTATGTTAGTCAGTTTAATAATCGATGTCTTGGCTGGCTGGTTTAAGTGTTTTTTTATTAAGTTTTATATATATCTTGTGAGGTTCGTCTTTTCACAAACACTCATCTTGCTCTACAGTCACCCTCGCCTTCATGCGGTGAGCCATTAGTTCTTAACAAATCTGTGATCAAAATTATGTCCTCAATAATATTTTAGGTACTTGCATGGATATTTAAGAATTATATCGATTAAAAATACAAATTATACCTCTTGGCAAAATACAAAGTTGGTACAGTTTGTGACAGATATTACTACAAGTACAAAATGTTACAGATATCGTAGAAATGATATTACGTTATCTTGATAATATATATTTACATGATGTTATTAAAGTTATATTGTAGAAACGTTTATTACACCATAATGTAAAAAAAATGTTAGAAATATATTTTAGAGGATAATTAAAAGTTAAAAAATGTTCGAAATCATTACAAACATTGTACTATACTCTATGGTAATACAAGAAGTATACTGTGTACTGTATGCATGTATACTGTATTTACATTAATATAATACACAATTCATGTAAGGAAACAGAGAGTTTGTGTGATTAATCATGATGTGTGCTGTGGTGCTGAGTCATGCCAGAGCAATAACTGTAAAGCCTGCATATAAGTTTTTCCGGTGTTATCATTATTACTAGATATTTTAATGTCTTTCTTTTCCTCAACAACCAAGTATGTTAAGCACGTACAGTGAGTCATTTCACACGTGATAATAAGTGAAAAAAGTCAAGGAAAATTTATTTTTCTCGCTGTTTCAAGTAGAGTGTCGCAGGGTGATTGAAAACGAAATAAAATACAGTGATGTGGGTTTTGTTTCGGGGTTATGTCAATAAAAGAGTGGAAATATGTGTTTATATAATAAGCACACTACTGTTGTTGTTGTTCCAGCGTGAGACTGGCCCGGCCTGGCACTGTGTGGGAAGGAGGTGGTGGCTGCCCTCACTGGTGCCGTGACTCTACAAACTGGTTCTGTTTTGTGTTACGCAAAATGTGGCTACTGTTTGCTTGTGAGAATGGCTGTGTGTGTGTGTGTGTGTGTGTGTGTGTGTGTGTGTGTGAGTGTGTGTGTGTGCGTGTGTGTGAGTGTGTGTGTGTGCGTGTGTGTGTGTGTTAATGTCGTACAGGTGTCAGGTGTCTCACAGGTGGATTAATACTTCTCTGCTAACCTGGTATATTCACCAAACCTGTTTGTTTGTAATTAATGTAAGGGGTCACGTGAAGATTAATCCCCCAGTTTATATCACATTAAAGACTAACCACCCTAAACCTAACCTAACCTAACCTAACCTAACCAGAAACCCCTCTGCTTATATACCTACTTCACAGTACACCTACACACACACACACACACACACACACACACACACACAGCCTTTCCTTCCCTCCTTCCTCTCACTACACACATAACCTCATTCTCGTAAGCAAACAGTAACACCATTTGCGTAAGAAAGTCAGACCAGACATCCTGCAGTCTCACCCACCCTACCCAGCCGGAGACCACCAGACAGACTTTTCGTTTCGCACGATCCAAATTTTACCTCCCCCTCACCTGCCTGTGAGAGGACCCTGTCACCTGCTCTATATAACCAACGAAGCGGAAATGCTGGCCTAAATGACGTGTTTATCGTGTTGAAACTTTAGGGTATCATAATTAGATACGGTTTGCTTAATGAGAGAAGGAAAACAAATATAAACACATGAATATTTGACACCCCAGTATTTCCCACCCTCTAACCTAACCTAACCTAACCTAACCTAACCTAACCTAACCTAACCTAACCTAACCTAACCTAACCTAACATGAAGATTAGATACCCCAG